TAATGAAAATTAAGGTATAAACTATCTAAATATAGTTGAAAATAGTTTCTTTGAGTGGTTTTGAAATAAAATTGAACTTTTATGGATACACTTGAAAAATTGTGATGGATTTCGTCTAGCGATTTGTCGGCAAAAGAGGTCCTGGCATTTGACTTCTTGGCATTGCTGTGCCTTTTTAGGGACTTATTTTTGTTTGTTAAACTCATTTCAATTTTATGTAGCCTGGCTAGGCATTCCCTTTAAGCATTTTATTAATGTCACAATGAAGAAACTACAGATTTTAATGATTTACTACAGTAAATCATTCCTAAAATGATTTTGGAAACCCAAGACTGAGTGCAGGAAGGCTTCTGCATGAGGAACTCCCTACTGACTTTTCTCCCAAAGCAGGGGATTAGGCTCTGTGTGCTCTGTTCTTCTGTGAGCCACGTTTCTGTGAAAGGTTTTAGTGGGGTATGGTGAACAGACTTGCACTTGATTTCTGTAAATGTTTTAATTTTAATTTCTTGCCTTCCGGCCTTATTTCCTGTGATTTTTGTTCAGGTTTAACATCTCATACAGAGGTTAATTTGCAATATATTGGTTGCCATAATACGTCCTCAAGGCCAAAGTTAATAGGATTGAAGAAGGGATTGTACAGTCAAATCCTAACACTGTATTACTGAAGTTAACAAGGCTTCATTGTCTGCAACATAGATTTTCAATTTAGGGGAGAGACTATCCCGACTCTTGCTGTAATCTGAGATAGTGTGGGCACTGGAACTGGCACTTGGCATCTGTAGGTCAGGCAGATGAGAGACAGGGGTATTTAACTCCCCACTCACCTCCTGTTTTGGTTTTATCTGTGCCTTTTTAAGTCTGGTTTTGAGGATTAACCAAGAGAATCATAGTGTAGCTTGGCAAAAAAATTACATAAACCTCATTAATTTTGCATAACAACTATGGTAGTGAAGACTTTAAAGCCCAGATTTCTACTTTCCCTAGAACTATTTCTTGTTTTGAAATGTGATGATGGGTTTCAAGAACCACTAATTAGCACTTTCCCTTGAAAATTCACATGGGTTTATTCTAAGAACTTTTACCTTCAGACTGAAGTGTAGAGTCTTTAAATTATTAACTCCATAAATCATGTCAGTGTTCCTACATAACTGCTTGATTTTATCCTTAAATAATCTGCAGTTTATTTTTAAACACTAGGATTAGAGATCTTACTCCTCTAAAGTTAGAGAGATGTGAGTAGATGGATATGGCATGATACAGCAGGGGGTTACAATACAGATTTTGAATTCTTGCACTGTGTGCTGGACCTGCAACAGTGCCCAGGGGCAGCAGTCAGAACCAGAGCACAAATCCTGTGGGAGAATGGCCAGAGCCTCTCCTCTGAACAGCTTTCCATCTCATGTCAGGCAAAGCTCATCAAGTCATTTCAATTCACAGAAGGGGTGAAGTAAAAGAGAAATAAAGAATGCAGCTGACCACATACTTCAGCTAGGCACTCAGCTGGGTTTCCTGAAGCATATAATCTCTAATTTACTTTATTTTTAGCATTTTATCTTTTCTTGCCCCTAACCAAGCAGTTGTTATTTGAATGATTTGTCATTTGAATGATCTAGCTGAAGTCTGTCCTTTGGGAAAGAGGAAAGTAGCCTGCTGCACAAATTAGTTGGGGGCAGGAGTCAAGGGAGCAGCATACAATAGCAGTAACATTTAGAAAACTTCTTATCACTTTGATTGGCAGCAAAGATATATGCAGCACAGAGCAAGTAGCCAGCAACTGTTTTGGTCTCCTTCAGGTATTCTAAGTAGGATTAGACAACTTGTTGACACCACATATCGTTTCTAAGTGAATGTAGGTGGTATTGCATTTTTTATTTAGTTAAAGGAACAATATGATGCCTAGTTCATTTATTTATATTTTGAGTGGTTTTATAACCTCAATATTTGCTCAGTGATCTAAGCTAAATGAAGGTAACAGCCCTCCTGTGTGGGCTGTAAGCCCTCTGCACAGCAGTGGCAATAAATACGGCTCTCATGGGGCCACCAAGACCCACAGCTGAGCAGGAGATGGGAACTGTGGCTCTCTGCTAAGCCCACTCTATAAACCAGAGAGGGCACTGAGATGTTTTTCACTTCTTTCTTGCCAGAAGGATGACTCAAAATCAAAATGTAAATATTTAGTCATGGTCTGCCCAAGGCAGCATCATAATGGGCTCATCAAAAACATTATTCTAATTGTTTTAATTACCCTAAACAAAAACATAAACCAATATTTTCTACTTACACTCTTGCTATAGTAAAAATATATGTATTTTTCCCCTGCTGATGCTGAGAAGTCATAGAGAAGCAGGAGTGCTGACAAGTAGAGGGAGTTTTGGGTATTCCTAACATTGAAGACTCTGTATCTGAATGGCATTGCTGAAAGGTAGTGGCCTTTCATACATTTCTGTATTAAATTTAAAATACCAGACAGGTTACAAAGGTGCTTGGAGGCAAAAAAAGGACTTTCATTACTCTATAAAAAGCTTATGCCTCATAGTGATCTGTGTGGCTGTTTTACATGCAACATTGCATAATGGCTAATAATATAATGATGGGATAAAAAGTGGGACAGATGTTTCCTCTGTGTTTCACTGGGTATGTGTTTTAGTAACTAATAAATGGTGAAAAACAACTATCCCAAATTTTTTTTTATAACTGGGTTGTTTTGGTTTTTTTTTCAGAAAATTCATCAAGTTTTGTCTTTGTTATGTCATAAATCATATTTTAGTCCATCTTGTAAACAGAGATAAAATAGCCTTCCCAACATATTCCATGTTTTCCTGTGTAATTAACACCTCGTTCACAGTTGTGTCTGCCAGTCAAAGCCCTGCCTTCTTCATCCTGACACTTCCTTGATACTTTGTTTAGACTGCTGTGACTTTAAGTGTCATCCTCAGGATACTTTAGATAAGTTCAAACAGGAAAAGGAAGGTGCTTCAAGAAGTCAACACTGTAGATCATTATAACTTGGAGGGACTATTTTAAAAGTATGAAGTAATTTATCATTGTTTATTACATTATTACCTCTCAGTCTGTTTTTCCTTTTTTCTAAGGGAAGTTTACTGGTTTTTTTTCTTTAAGTGAGGAAATATCAGTTTCCACCTGTATTTGCAGAGTAGAGATGAGTCCAGGAGTACAGATGTACTCTCTGCAGCCCCCTGTGCTTGTGCATGTGTGCCCTGGTGCAGTGCCTGGCAGGCCAGGCGAGCTCCTCAGCTGCTTGGTGAGCAGCATCAGTGAGCTGACCAAAGTCAAAACCTGCTCCACCTTAGCCCAGCTGAGCTGCCAGCCCTAGCTGGTCCTGGGGCTGCAGGGACAGTGTTGCCAGCACAGCAGAGGCTGTGCTGGGAGTGGGTAGTAAGGGCCAGTAGAGCCTCGAGCCCAGCCTAGGCACCTAGGACTGTATTTTTGTTCTAAAAATTTACCCTTAGCTGCCCCAGTTAGAGCTCTGCATGTGCAAGTACTGGTGGGATTAAACAGCTCAGCACATGACATATGTCTCAGCTAGTTAAGACCCAGGAATTTGGCACTCCAAAAATGCTGAGGTGGTTTTGTTTCACTCTGACTGGCCGAGGATGTTGATAAAACCGTGGTGGCAGTGTACATGTTGTGCTGCACAACCCAACGGCTGAAACACATCCACACAATCTTGGGTCTGTTTCTTTTTCAGCTTGAAGGGCTTGAGATGCCTACCACTCCCAGGAGAGTCCCTGGCTTCTCTCGTCCTGGAGAGCTGCAGGGTGGGAGGCAGAGGGATTTTCCACCCTTACTGACATCCCCTCAGCACAGATCAAGATTAATGAAATGCACAGCATGACAGTGCTTTCCTACAGATCAGGGCTCTCACCTGGAAATAGCAAAACTGGATTTCTTTCTGTTCCTGAGAATACTTCTGCAGTCTATGTGACACTGTTATTTAAGAAACTACAGAAGCAGACTTAGTAGTAAGGAGCATGGCTTACTGAAATATCCCTATGTGTTAATTGTGAACCATCAGCCAGAATTTTATTTTTTTCACTTTTTAAGCCAAGTTTTCACCAGGACACCCCCCTAATGCTTAACATCAATTTACATTTGCCATATGCAAAGGAAAAGTTTACTCTTAATGGATATAACACTTTTTTTCTTTGCCATTTGCACCTAGATATTAGTTGTTCTCAGCTGTTGTTTCTAAAAAATGTGCATCGGATTTCAGCTTGGCAATAAAGATGTTAATTCCTGTAAATTACTTCCATTTTTATGTTGATCTTCCTATAAAAAAGCATATAAGAAAACAGTTGTTCAAGCAAACTCTGTACTAAAAAATTGTAATAGTTACATATGCATGTGTTTTTTAGAAACTGAGTGCAAAGTCTCCCTTAAGTAGACTTTTATGGACTTTATGTTTTAATGCAAATGATTTTGCATGTGCATTATATATACACAGATGGTAGTAATTGCACAAAGAAGGTGAGTTGTTTTTGCAAATAAATCTCTGGCTTTTGTGCTCATTATCACATCCCAGAGAAGAAGGTATGTGTGTTTGTTAATAGGGTTATGTTGCACATATGTACTGACTGTGCTGCAGCACAGTTTTACATCCCAAGCTCTGGTGTATTCATACAAATGTAATTTCTTTACACCTCATCAAGGTACTTTGTTAATAACCCTATCAATGTGCACTCATATTTGAGACAAAGCTTTAAAATGTGACATTGTTACTGGGATGGAGATACAAATATAGTTTGTTATAACTATTAAAAGCAATCCTAGAACTACTCAGATAGTATTGCAGGGACTGATACAGAGTATTCATTTTGGATGGATTTTGTTGGGTTTTTTTGGTTTGGTTTTTTTAGTTAGTTTGTTTGGGTTTTTTTTGGTAATACATAAGGCAACAAATCTTTTCTTAAAATTCTTATTCCAAATCAGTCCCTAACCACTCCATTTATAAATGTCTATTGTAATTTTTTTGTTTCCAGGGCAGACGAGGCAAACCAGGCCTTCCAGGAAAACCAGGGCCACCAGGACCTCCTGTGAGTAACTCATGAGGGGAATGGGAAATTTTCACTCTGTCCTTTGGCCTGGACAAAATCCTCTGGACTTTGTTAACTCTTTTATAGCAGGTTACTGGATCATAATTATAGTTAAAAATAATTAATCTGTGTGTACTCTGCTGTATCAAACACCTACTGCTGGTAGCCTTTTGTTGCAGCATAAATAAAAGGACTGGGTCCACAAGTAGGAGCGACTATGCAGGAGGGAAAGAACAAGATGGAAACTTCAGCAGAGGAAGCAGAAATTGGCATTTCAAAGACTGGCCATGTATGCTAGCTGTGAATACTGTGCTTTCATTCCCTTTGCAAAATGCGTGATGCTCTGTAGAAGGGATAATTTCTGTCTCAGAGGGGTAATTTGAAAGATGAAGGACTGTGTGAAGCATGTGCCAACTGTCTGAATGATGGGGAGGATTATACCCAGCACTGGAATGAGCACTCAGCTGTAGTTCAAATGAGTTGACTGAAGAATTAAACAGATTAAGAAATACATGACTTTATGAAAGGATTTGTAATATGGAGAACTAAAGGGTTTAGCTCAGATCTAAGAGGTTTGGGATTTTCTTTTTCTTCTCTATTTTTTTAAAAAAAGACAAAGGATTTAAAATTCAAGTCAGGTATGAATGTATATTAGTCTTCAATGAAAGCAGCCCTTTTTTATTAGGGGAAGACTTGGTCATATTTGTAAAATTCTCTGTACATTGTATTGTAAAAATGCTGTCATGCACAAATGCAAAACAGCTATTTGTGGATGGAGTAAGCTTCTGCTGCTTTACATTCTTAATATAAAACAAAAAAACATTATAATTCCTTCTTTTGCTTACCTGGATAAAGGCTAGTGGTTTATGTATCTGAACATTTGATTCAAATGTTTCAACCTGGTCTTATATGTAGAGCAGAGAATAATGCACTGCTGCATGGGATGCAATGACTAAAATGAAACAGATGTCATCTACCCTCAGCCAAAACAAAAACTGCATACATTTCATAAATAATTTTTTCTTGCAAAATGCTTTCAGAAAGAGGCATTTATGATGAAATTCATTTATCCTACATAAAATCAGTTAAAAATCCCTCCCTTTCACTCTTTTCCCCTGCATACCGTCATACTGAAGCCTTGCTTGTTTGAGTCCTTTGCACAGTCCTAATGCTGAAATGGTATTGCAGATTGCAGGAGGCCAAACAGAGGAAAGGACTGATGCAGAATCTTTCTTAATACAAGTGCCAAATATAACCTTTAAAGGATAAAAAAGCAAACCATAGCAGAGGTCATTGTTAGACCTAATCTACTTAGCTTTTTGTGAGCTAGTGAAAAGCTGTTTCTGCGTTACAGATTTCTGCCATCCTAGATTTGCTGGCAGGTCAGGCTTGTGAAGATGTATGATCCTTGACAGATATACCAGAAATCTTGAGAGGAAGCTAAATTGCACTTCTATTACTGAAATGTAGCTCAGATTTTCTTACAGCAAGTAGAAAGCTCAACTTTGTCAGCATGGCAACGTCACTACAAGGAGCTCTGTATTGGGTACTGTAGCCTAGTACTACATACAGAGAAGCATTCCTTAAACAGCCATGGCCTAAATATTGGTTTAAAGTATTTCTTTCTGGTATAATTCTCTTGATGCACTCCTTGCTTTGAATACAGCTATACCACCATCTTGTGTTCCTCTTCCAAGGCTGAGAAGATAACACATAGAAAAGGCATACTCTAAAAGCAGTAATGCCTGCTAACATGAATTGGCAGGATCCCCATACTTCAAGTGCCACAGCTTGTATACACCAAAAAAACTTCAACAGGATCCATCATTCCCCCTCTCTTTCTCAAGGCTCAAACTATATTCAGTTTTGCTGTGCTTCCAGGTACCCTTCTCTCCTAATAGTAAGCAGCTTCTTCATGCACATGGATGCATTGTTAGCCCTTACTCTGGCTTTCCCAAAGTGCAACAGAGCACTCACACCTGCAGGGTGCTTGCTGTCATAACTTTGGCCTACACAGGGTGCAGAGTGGTTAACAGATTGACTGAATATGTAAAAATTAGACTCTCCAGCATAAAAAAAAAAAAAAAGGGTTTTGGCTGATGTTCAAAAATATAGGAAATTTGTTTTTGAGAAAAAGGAGATTCAGTCATTAATTGTTAGGGTAGCTACAGCATGAAGTGTGAGTTTATGCCATTATGTTAAGTATTTCATTTATATATTAGGGCAGTCAAGTGCTCAGTACTGACAAAAAAAAAACAACCAAAACCACAAAAATGGTGATAAGAAAATACAATACTCAAGGTATTTATTATAAAGGACAATCCTAATAACAATGTGCACATACAGGGATTTGTGGGGAAAGATTGGGGTAAAATTAAAGAAAACTGGAAAGTTACAAAAATTGCCATCAGCATACATGCTGTGCTTTCATGTGACAGAAGTGTAAAAGCTCAGTTGCTAACAGTCAAAAATCTACTTGTAACATGGCAGCATTTTAGACTTTTCTAACCTTCTTCCAATATCTCATCTTTTTTCTTTTTTTTCCCTAACCTAATTTCTGGGGACTTTTTTCAGTAAAATTAATCCTTGGTGTAAGTTTCTAGTCCCTTAACATCATCTGCATAGCTTTGGTTAAAAACCTTTATCACTGTCAGAAACATAGATTGATTGGCATCTGGTAATGAAACTGTTCAGTTAAAGTGGGACTTCCTATGAAATTTCTTCCAGATATCATTTCTCTTGTGTAATTTTTTTTCCTTATCCTTTCTTTTATGTTATTTTTTTTTCTCTTTGGAACAAGTCCTGTTCCCACAAAAGGCAAGGAGTCAAAGAAGAATTTTAGTGATCAGCTATAAAAAATATTTTTGTAAACTTATGGAATATATTCCTCCTTTGTATTAGTTTAAAGTCTATTACATATTATAGACTTTTAAGGTGTTCCTTGATTCCCTTCTGGTTTGGAATTGGTAGTATGCATCCTCGATGTCTGCTCTTGGTTTTGAATACTGTCCTGTTATTTCAGTTCAGGAGAGCCGAGATGAGAGCTCACACCCGTCTCAATCCAGCGAGTAGCAATTTGTGCTGAATACAAGAATCCAAGTGGAGCAGCAGCTCCCTCTAGTGCTTTTTGACCTTTTCTCCACTTTAAAAGCTCCTGGATAGCAGTGAAAATCTTCTGTTAAACACACTGTTCACTTTGCTCTCACAAGCATTCTGAAAATTGTGATTGTAAAATCAATATCTCTGTACCCTTCAAATGTATTTTATGTATTTGCCTACTTCCATTTTCTTCTAAAGTCTTCTGAAAGAGAGACTGTCACATGCTGTTACCCTGCTCAGCATGGCTCTTCACTGAAATTGAAATGCTGATTTTATGAAACAAAAAGAATTACTATGATAATAGGATGCTTTAAGGTTGTAAAAACAGCATTTTGATCAGAGTGCAGAACTGAGCTGGTTGCTTTCTTCTGCCATAGCTGCTAACTAAAATTCCATAGGATTCAGCAACACAGGATGGGGTCCCTGATGTCTGTCACTGTTGAGGCTGGGGATTTATTGATTATTTATTTTTGCCTTGAAATGGATCATCAGGTATAGCTATTTACATAGATGGGCTAGAGAGCAGAAAAAAGGAGTTTTACTCATTTCTCTATTGAGGGTTAACTTTATCTTTCCCATCCTAATTTTCTCTGTCTCTACTGGAACTGTTATGACTGGAGCAATTCCATTTCTTAATAGCTCCCATTTTAGTGAGTTAGCTTGTTTTTAAAATCAAGAGTGATAAGCTACAGTTGTGCTACAGACTTGCACAAGTATAAAAAAATTCTTTGAGATGAGTCTGACTTCTGCCCAATTATTCTTTAGCAGAAGTGAAATGTTATCAGTGCTGGTTTGTAAAGGTTAGAAGCATGAGGGCGGCCTGTTCTGGCCAAACAATCTTATCCAATGTTGCTACCTATGGCAGAGGTGGGAAAGCAACCTAGGGTGTGCTAAATCACTGGCTAGGAAACTGTAATCACAATTATTCATTCCCTTAAACTGATACATCCAAAGCTAAGCTATTGTTTTCAACCAATAGATATAATTGATTCATTTCACATTGCTATAGCTTTTGAAACTCATCATTCAGTTTATCATTTACCTTTGCAAGAGGCTGAACTTCATATTTTTTATCTTCTCAATATGTTTGCTTGGAAGATGAGCTTTGTGTTACTCCCTAAATTTTTAAATTAAAACAGAGTTTCATTTTTGTCTGCATTGCATGGGATGCAGTAGAGGAGTTCACTTGAACTTCTTCATTTAATTACATACACTTTTGCTGTTGTGATTCAATACATATGTCAGTGCCCCCAAACTAGTTATCTTAAGTAGCCAGCAGTTCACCTTGGAAATTTCATTTCCTCTGCCTCAGGAAATATTGTCATCCCTCTACCAATATTTTGGGAGTGAGTGAATGTTATCACTTAATTATAATAAAGAAGAAATCAAAGCAATGATAAGTGAAAATTGTCAGTAGCATTTCTGGTTTTCCTGGACTTTCAGCTACTTCTTAGAAGAATATTGGAAACACTTCCATTAGAGTGTGGGAAAGGCAGGCAAAGGTTGGTCATATTGCTTGTTTCTATGCATAAAGTTTTTTTATCCATATCAAAATGTAATTTCTTTCTTATGTCCTATTGTGAGAGACATCATGTTTTCATCATTCTTTCCATTTGCTGGTTGGAATAGTTATGCAATATTGTACATCTGCCCTGATGAGTTTCATGAGGTTTTGCATTAAAATAAACAGAAAAAGAGGGTCTTATTTTAATGGGCAGACACCAAAGTGAAATACAGGGATAAAGTAACTGCACTGAGTCACTTGCAGACTGTGTTCTCTGAAATGGCCTATTTTTGAGATGCAACCAACAATTTACTTGTTACCCATTTTATGCATGGACTGTGAGATTGTGTAGATTTTTTCAACAGTCTCATCTTTACAGAAATGCAGGTGAACTATAAAACTTAAGGGAGGAAAATATGTTGTAAACCCCAGTAATTTCACAGTTTGGAGCTATTTCCCTTTAAGCACCTGTGTTTCTATTCCTGCCTTGTCTGTAGAAATAACATCTGAAACCTGTTTGCAATTTTGGGAAACAATCAGGACACATTTTCAGTTCTTTTCTTATTCATACAACTCTACTCTGTGTGCTTCGCTTCTCTCAATTACACAACTTGATATTAGAAAAAAAAGGAAACCCTGCTCAAGTGAGCTTAAAAGTGGCAGATGTGCAAAATTCTTATTCAAAAGCTAGAAACTTCTGGTACAATAATTCTTCAACTGTTGTTAATTTCATTGCTTCTCCACGTTCAAACCAATGCTGCTGGGGTTTTTTAGTCTGTAGAGACTTCAGAGTAGACGCTGCAACTATATTAGTGTAGTGAAACTGTGGAAGAAAAGAGACTGTGATTTGGGAAAAAGTCTTGAATAAAAATATCTTCTGTTGTTGTATACTTGTTTTACTAGTTTTTTATGATTGAAGAAATTGTAGAAATATAAAATTATTAAATTTATATCAATTTTTGGAAAACTGAAATACTAAACTGGTAACACAAAGGCTGTGGCATAGTCAAGAATGCAGCCAAAATGCCTAAAGCTCTCCTTGACTGTCTTAGTCATGAGACATTCTGGGGATTTTTGAGGATATGCTTGTTTTTCAAAACTGTGCCGATGTACTTTTCATCCTGTCAAAAATTATTTATTTATGTACAAATAATATCTGAGATTCTGGGGTTGATGGCAGCATTAATTTCTTCCTGGGCTGTGTGTCTGCAGCAGTTTCAGTTGTGGAAAAACTGTAAAAGAAGCGTGATACATGATGTCAAATGCAAAGGGAGAGTAAGTTCTTATTTGTGACTCTTTGCAGGATTTCAGATTTCTCCAGGAATCCTGGGTTAAAGGATTCAGTACAGCAGGTTTACAGTGTTGATGTTGAGATGTCTAGGTAGTGTCATCCTGCTTCAGTCCCAGTTCTGAATTGCTGGCTTTATTATAGATAGCAAAGTAAAAATTCTGCCCGTAACGTCAGAGTGGAGTGAGATCTTAGTGAAGACATCATGACCATATTGATCTTATTTTTAACATAAATTTGAAGTGACAATTCACTTTGAAATAACAGGAAGACACTTTTGTCTCTTCCAATTTAGGGAAGAAGGAGGGAGTGAAATACCTGAGATGTTTCAAGTGGCCTCCAAGCTTTCCTAGTACCCACACTAAGACAAAAGCTGCAGAGGATAAATTGTAATTATAAAAGCCCCAGAGGAGCTTTTGCACCCAGTTTTTATTACATCCAGGTCAATCAGGCTAAATTACTTACTTGAATATTTTGTAATCTTATTAATACAGTCAGATGTTTCTTACAGCCATCATGAGTTGTTGGTGTTCATATTGCTTTATGTGAAAGCTTCAACTCAAAGAGAGTAGCTACAATAATTTGTAAATCTAATTGAGTCTTAAGAACTGACGGTACTTTCTGTGTTCTGCTCCACCTATCAAACTTGAAAATCTCATTGAGGCCATGCTTTTTGGCAGAATATGCCCTAAAAATGGGCAGATTTAATGTCCAAAAATGCTTTTTCCCAAGCACATTTTTCAGTGTTTCTGTCCTAAATGTTAATTTGATCAGGAAGTTCCTTTTACAGTGTTTAATTTCTTGATGAAACGTGTGTTTAAGTAAAAACTTGCAATGCTAATAAAACTAGAAAGTTAATATTCTGGAGAATTCTTGCTTTCCTCAATTTCACTTACTGTACTTCCAGGTTAAACACCTAGCTGTTCACTCACACTAGGAGCTGCTTCTACATCAAAACTTGTGCTTCAAGTTAGTGGAAAGAGCTTTAAAATGCTGCAGAACAAGAATATTGTTCATACCAGAAGGGACTTGTACTAAAATAGATATGGATTTAATTGCTGCCTGCTCTGACTGACCAGTTCACTTGAAAATAAGTTGCTGGTTTTCAAAATTCAGAGATTTAAAAACTAACTTTCTTCTTCCTCTGTGCCAGAAAAAAGAAATAATGAAGTTAAAGAAGATAATTTACTGTACACTTCAAAAAAAAAAAAAAAACCTTTTACTTCTCCACTGCTTTTTAAAAAAAATATATGCAAACAAAAATAAAATTTGTTAAATTAAAATGACCTTCTGATGCATATTTTTCCATATAGGGCCCATCTGGACTAAAAGGAATCCTGGATTCATTGAACAAGCATTATAATGAGGTATGGAGATTTGATTTGGTGTCTGTGTGGGTTTATGACTAAGTAGTATCTAAGGGAGAAATGATTAAAGTTTTGACTCCTCATTCCAAACCACTTTCCAAACCTAATTCCAAATTAATTCAAAAGGTAGTTTCTTTCCTGCCCCCTTTCTGCATCCCTTTACAAGTTTCAATCCATACTCCCGTCACATTCCTACCTTGTCATCAATCTTGCTGCCATGTGTCTTGCCTCCCATCCATCTTCTGCTTACTTGTTTTTGACTGGTGAAACTCAGAAAGGAAATGTGGGGACCACCTGGCTGTTAGTGTGAAGCACCAGCTCCCCATTTCTAAACTTAATTGCTTTAAACTGAATTTGACATTTCTTTCTTGACCAACTCTGTCATGATTCTAAGAGTAAAATAGAAAGACAAGGAGGCATAATTTAAAAAATATCTGCCAGCAATCCATAAGGACATGAGAATTGTCCTTATGTTTGTATTACGGACTAATAAAAATACTGTGTCAATTATAAAACTACCTGCAGCTAAAAGAACTTAAAAGACTAAAAATTGCATAGGACTGAGTTCAACTTGACAGAGCTTTTACATTCTTAGTGCAGATATTTCAAGTCATTTAAGCTGTGGTAGTATCTGCCATTGTATGAGAACAGAGAAGTTTGCTTAATTGATTTGGGAGTATGTAACCTCTCTGATCAGAAAACCATTTTGTTCAAAAATTCAAGATGCACTATTACAACATTATTTCCCCAGTACAGTGGTTAATGTGTGTATCACAACTTAAGTCATGCAGGTCAAGCCTGGAGGAAATTAATTTATTTTAATATTAGAATGCATTAACTATACATGAATAGAATGAACATGTATTCAGGATATTTTTCTTATTTAGCATTCCCAGATGAGTGCTAAAATCTTTCCTTGAGCAGGGATTCTGGAGTTAAATTCATGTCAAACATACCTTTCCAGCTGCTTTTATCACTGAAGTGATTTCTTTGATATTAATTATGATATTTAATCCATCCCAAATCAGTAGATCACCTTAGAAGCGTGTATTAGGAGTTAAGCATAGAGCATTTTTTATGCCTAGAGACTTAGTTTCTGTATTTGGTCTCCTGCTTCATGTATATGTGTTCAAGTTTTACATATTTTGGCTTTCACGTTTGGTTTCCTTACCAGTTTCTTTTTCCTGCCAAAAATCTTTCACTGATACCAGCAACGTTTTCTCTATTGATACCATATTTTTTGTAAATCATATTTTTTGTAACTCATTCCCCACCTCTGCCTTATCAGTCTCTTTAATCCTGATAGTCTTTTTAGGGTTAATTCTGCAAGAGGAAATACAAACAGTGATGATCTCCAGGAAATTACACACTTCTGTCTCCAAAAATCGTGTTTCTTATAATTATAATGCCCTAAGTAATCTTAAGGTGGCTAATATTTCCTAATTAACAATCTCCTGGAAAAAATGTAGACCAGCTGGTATGTGTCTATAAATTAATTATCTTTTAAATCCTGGATAGCTTATCAACTTTCTTCTTACTTCAGCTGTCTAGTTTGAAGATTTTAATGACTCTTTCATAAGCAATTAACTGTTCAACAAGGAAATGCTGTTTGATTCCAGATGAAAGAGGAGTTGGCTTTCTGATTCAAGTAGAATGTTCTAAATATGCAAATTTTTAGTTAAAGTTGACTTTTAGAGTCAGCTTAAGTCTCCAACAACAAACCTATTAATTCCTATACATTTTAGGGTGGGATTGAGAAATTCCCATCAATGACAAGACAAAGAGGTCTTCAAAGAAAAGAACAGCTTCTCTGCTTTGCCATTGATGCACTAAGGCAGAAGTATGCACCAGTAACTTGTCTTTTCTCCATGCTGTTTCATACTGTGACAGAAGCTGATTTTGTCCATGGCACCTTGGAGACATCAAGCAGTCTATCACATTCCAGTACTGAATTTGCACTGTGCCTCAGTTACCATTAGTGAAATTATTTTTGAGTGATACTCTGAGGTTTTTGAGGTTCCCTACAGCACAGGGAATGGTGGTGTCATCTTCCATCATTTTATCCAAGTTCTCAAGGATGTCACAAGCTATTCTTTCAGTTGGGTGTTTAAAGTGTTTAGGTATTGACTACATTTTACTTGTTAAAAGTATTTTCACACTTTTTTTTTTTTATCCTAAGAATATTAGTATGGCTTCTTTGTGTCAGTATTTCTAGGAACCATGAGAAAATTATATCAAGAAATGTGGTGGCTCTTAAGGCCCATCATAATTAACAATGTTTTTTCTGTTTTTCTATTTCTCTGCTTCTTATCAGATTATTTGCAAATTTTCTGATTGCTGTAATATGTATTGGTAATTGCACAATGTATTTAAATAATTTATTGCAAGCAGGATTTTTCTGGGTCAGCATCAATCACTTTATCAGAGTGATTTTTAAGGAGGCTGGAGTGCAAGCCTTTAAAAGCATAATTTACTTGATCCATGTATACAGTGAAAGAGCACTATAAATACAATTGCTGATTGCAGCAGCAAATTGTGCTGAACAGCAAACCAAGATCAGCAGTCTTCCCTTAATGAAGGTGAGAGGAACCTGCCGAGGATAAGGAGTAGCATTGATCCTTAATGGGGTGGGAGACAGTGCTGGAGCATTGCTGCCCTCATTCTTCCTGTGTGCCTGTTTTTATAGGTGACTGTTTTTATATTCTTTCTTGTTATGTCGTTTGCATTTTCAGCATGAATCAGATGCTTTGCATGTGTTCAATAAACGCATTTTGTTCTCCTCTTTTTGCCAAGACACTAATTCTGCCCTGTATGTTACATTCCTTCAGAGATGGATACACAATGCCTCATTATTTGCATTTTTATACTCTCAGACCTCTGTTATCCTTTGCCTGGGTTTTCAAGGCCTCTGTTTGTCAACCTTCCTACTTACCAGTTTTCCATATGTAGATATAAGGTCATTTAGCTAAACTTGCTTCTAAATATCTTTGGAAAGGGCATGTAAATCAGTTTAATCAACAATGTTCTCCAACACATAAAAATAGAAAATTAAACCGAAACACAAAGAAATTTAAACTATAACATAATCTGGTCAGGAAATGTTCGGAATCACTATAATTTGTAGTAGTTTTAGACTATTATGGGATAATTCAGTATTAACTTTCTAAGATTTTTTTGCTTTGGTGTATTTTACCAACATTTGGTTTTAAAGAGCAAATTACCTATAAAAATGCAAAGAATATAAGGGTAATTTTTTGGTCTAAAAGCCTTTCCCCCTTTTTTTTCCTTCATATTTACAAAAAAAAAAACCTACAACTGAGAATAAATCATAATTTGTAGTGCACTCACAGTAACAGACACCTGGATTCTCAGCCCAGTGGTAGTCAGCTACTTCTCATCAGTACTCAGGTATCTGGATATCTGCATCTTGTTCTGAAGGTGATTTTGATAATTAGTATGCTCACAGTGTTACAAACCCTAACCACCAAGGAGAATCCATCAGGAAATTAGCATTTCTAAGATAATTATTGATTTTTTCAATTTGTATTCAGTTACTATCTTTGAAAATATTAACACAGTGTAAATGGCACATTTTTTCATTATGATATTTTCCCATTTTAGAGTTTTGGAAACAGGGATATGGCAAGGGAAGCTGGCTTACTCAGGGTTCCTGCTCACCCCAGTGGCATGTGTTCTAGGATTGGGATTCCCTGGCTCTTGACAGGAGCTCATTTTTCAGGGTTATTGGGTTTTGCTTTTTTTTCCACTGTCATTGCAGAGAAACATGTTCCCCTTAGGACATCTGACTTTGTGAAAAGGAAACCATTTGCTTTGTGTTTTATTGTGTCTCTACCTTGTACAGAAGAGTAAATAAATGCAGTGCAGTAACAGCTGAGCAAGTATAGAACCTGAACCATCTAGTCCTTAAGTCTGTCTTCATTGAGAAGCAATGTGAGGAGCCTGTTCCCTCTCCTTTGTCTTACTACTGTAGTAGACTTAAATTAGTTCTATGGTTTTTTACATTTCATGGTACTCAAAAGTAAAAAGCTTGCGGTTCTTTTTCATAGAAGTTGGGGGTTTTCTTCTTTTCTAACATACTTGAGAAATGCATTGTAACAATGAGGATAAAAATATGTTATTTGTGTTGAACTTTAAAAAATCATAGATTTGCATAGCAATAGTCAACATAGACATTTCCCTTTTATGCTTTTGTTCATTTTCTGCTAGTGTGGCAGGAGTGTGAATGTGTGATAAAGGATGTGTTCTGCAACATATTACCTACTTGTACTGCATAGGCATTTATTATTATTCCCTTTCTAGTGGTAAATTAGGACTTCTGAATTTACAACTGGATAATTAAAATAAATTGTTATGGTAAACAAGTTGTTACTGGAAGTAAATGGTGGCATTTTCTAATCTTTGTGCTGATATTTCTTTCCAGAGTGACACAAGACTACTGGGAGTACTTGGGACCCCTGGACTTAAAGGCCAGAAAGGAGATGTTGTAAGCATTTGGGATGAATTTGGAGAAGTTTCAAAGGGCCTTCCCAACCTCTCCCCGCCACCCTCAATGCATTTTATTTGATTTATCCCAATGGGCTTTGAAGGAATAGATTTTTGACATGACTGGCATTTTGATCTGTGTAGACCAATATCCAACTCATCGTGTTATCCTGCAGAGGCAACATGTGATTCTTTCTCATTTAGTATAAATAGAAAGGAGAAATGCTGAAGGAATTATGTATGGTTTCTATAATGCCATCTGAGAAGTCAAATGAGCTGCCCTGACAGTTATGTGGGAAAGACTGAAAAAGTTGAAATATTCATAAAATATTTTGGATAGTAAATAATGAATATTTAAAGCAGTTTCTCTGTAATGATGAGGCTTTCTATACCAAAAATACTCATAGACAGCCTCTAAAAATTACATGGAAATCTAATTCTTAATCCACGCTTTATTGTTTGCAGTTATCTGTCCTGTATAAACAGCTCACTGATATTTTAACAATTGCATACCTTTCAAACTTTTAAGAGAATAGACAAGAGCTCTGGATATGTGACAGAACTGACAACATTTTATTGAGAAGCCTGCAGATCTTCTGTAGAAAACAGCCATTTAAATTCATTTGCAGATGTTTAAGCTTGATTTCCATTGTAATAATCGTTAAGATTTTGTGGCCCACACAGAAAAAAAGTACATTTAAAGAAGAGGAGGGGGTTATTTACATTTGCCAGAATACAAAGATTTTAAATATAATTAATTTTGTTAAAAGGGTCAAAAAGGAGAATTGGGAATGACTGGTGCAAAAGGAGAAAAGGTGAGTTAATTCCTTACTTCTGTGCTCATGTGTTTACTAGAAGTTGATGCAATGTACTGATTTTGAATGAAATCTTGTAAAATATACAGGAGATCAAGACAAAATATTTGGGTATGGGAAAAGTTGTCCATCTCTAAATGTCCTTAGTACTTTATTCAAGCCCCTTATTGGAGGGTATTTACATAGGCAAGTAAATTTCCCTGTTTTACCAGCTCACAAAGCCTTTAGCTTTAAAAGCATTCAGACTTTTACTTAATACCAGTTTAAAATTATTTTTATAAATGTTTATGATCAGAGGCTGCCTCATTAATTAGGTGACAGTCATACTTTTTCAAGTTATGATCTTCAATATCTACATGAATAAACAAGAAGCTTTAAATTATTAAAATTTACAGATTAACATTCTAATTTAGTATATTTTAATTTAAGCATAAATTTTACAGTATGATTCAGGAGGTATTACTACTTGGGAACAGAATTGTATTTTGCTTTTCTAGGAATGTGTGCTGTACATAGTTCTACTGATTAATAGGTGTTTTCCCATTCAGCTATGAGGCTTCTTGATTTCTTTGGTCATACCTTTATATTCCTTTATAGTTTTCATGCAGGCAGAAACAGTATTTTTACTCAATTGATACAATAGATTTATGATTTTGTGTGTTATAAAGCATCTAAGTTTGAGAATTTTTCAGATTTGGATGCGTGATTACTCTCTTTAGTTCATGTTCTTGACCCTCCCTTGTGCTCCTGCTTGAGGGAATCATGAATGTCATGGTCTTGGCATTAAATCAACATCATCTCTCAAGTAAACTTTTCTAATACATATATTTGTATTTTAGACAGTTTTAAAATAGCCACATTTTCCAGGACTCTTCAGCAAAACTAGACATATGTGCTATTTAACATTTTAAATAAATCTGTTAACCTCTGTTCTACTTTTCCTTAGGGAGAGCCTTCTGAAAAAGGGGAAAAAGGAGACCCAGTAAGTGTAGCATGTTTTGAACTTATGTGAATAATGTGAAACATTTGAGATTACTGTCACACCATATTAATTCTGTAATTCTTTTCTTTGTAGACATCCACTAGATGCAGGGATTGTGTGGAATAGCATATGTATTGTCTCCTTCTTACATGTCCATCAAGGTCTCCCAGGTTATAAAAAAACCAGAGGTGCCCTGATTTTCAGCATTTCTGTTGCTGCTACTGTCCATTAACCGAGTTTAGAGCAGAAGCTTTTTTTTTATTCCCTGAAGGTTCTTTCTTTCAGCTTTTCCAGAAAGTTTTATGTGACCTGATCTGTACTGTTTTGATGCGGCTAGTGTGGCATTTAACATCAGGCTGTTCTCATACAGCTGTTTAATGTGTGCATAACTTTTTTCTTATTTTAAGACAAATTTTCAGAACACTCATTCCGTAAGACTCTCTTTACCTATGTTCCATATTTGTAATTAATTTTTGTCCTCTCTTACGATATTTGACAAAAAACTAGTTGTGCTTTTAAATATAAAACTCAAGGTTACTGAGATATTTTTTATTAACATATTATAATAATCAGAATAAATCCTACTGTAATAATATGTGGGTTTGGAGGTGAATATTGGTTACCAGAAAAGATGTAGTGGTGAAGAATAGACTGGAAATGCTGCTAAGGAAATATAGTGTTTTCAAACATTTTTCCTTTAAAACATTGGGAAAACTTGCAGAAAAAATTAGGTTGCTATGTCTTTCATAGTTCGCAAAAGGAATCAGAAATTATTTTATATTTTCTCAATATTTATGTCTGCAAACTGCATAACAGTATTTTAAGGTAGCAAATTAAGCTCTTATTTGATCCTACTTAAATTTCTAACTTCTTATAGTTGCATTTACTATTTTCAGGGAGAGACTGGAATGGAGGGATCAAAAGGAAATAAGGTATTTTTGGACTTGTACATACTATATATGTTGTCAGTATACATAGCTGACACTGAGAGACATAGCAGTAAACTTGAATTTTTTTGTTTTCTCAAACAAAATCATTAGGGTGAAATGGGAGATCCTGGACCACCTGGTCTTATTGGAAATCCAGGATCAAAGGTAAGTGAAAGTTATTTCATCCAATAACAATTGCATTCTATGCTGTTATATAACAGGACTCTGAAGCTATCAACTCTTTAGCTAGCATTAATGGGTAAAGAATGAAAATTATTTATATGGATCATGGCTATTTTACATAAAATTTATGTTTTACATTACATGTAAAATTGTACATACATTGTAAAATGTACATTTACATGTTGCTCTCAGTGTCACACAGAAAAGTTATTCAAGAAACACACAGGTGTTATTTTGTCACTTGAGAATATGAGCACCCATTTTGCAATCAGAAATCCTCTGGTAGCTGGGTGAATTCTCTTTATGCTTAGTGAGGCAAGGAGCAACCACTGCCAGTACTTGAGCAGCTCCTTTGTTTATTCCTGTGAGGCATCAGGCAATGTTACAGCAGTCATGGCCTGGCTTTGAGTCTATCCTCACAGGCAAACCTCAGGAAGTGTGGACTGCATGAGTGGACAGTGAGGTGGATTCAGAACTGGCTGAAGAGCAGACACCAGAGGCTCATTATCATGGCACAGGGTCTAGCTGGAGGCCTGTCACTGGTGGTGTCCACCAGGGTTCAGTACTGGGCCCAGTCTTGTTTAGTTGGTTCACCAAGGATTTGGATGAAGGAGCAGAGGCATCCTCAGCAAGTTCTCTACAACACAAAATCTGGGAGGAGCGACCAATACCCCAGAGGGCTGCGCAGCCCTTCAGAGGGACCATGAAGGTTTGAGAGATGGGCAGAGATCTGTCTGAAACTCAACAGAGCAAAGTGCAGGGTCCTGCACCTGGGGAGGAATATCCATAGGGGACAACTTGCTGGAAAGCAGCTCTTTGGAGAAGGACCTGCAGATCCATGGTGGACAACACCATAAGCCGGCAGTGCTCTTGTGGGCAAGAAGGCCAATGTTATCCTGGGGTGCATTAGGAAAAGCATGGTCAGCAGGATGAGGCAGGTGATCTTGCCCTTCTATTCAGCCCTGGTGAGGCACATCTGGAGTGCTGTGTCCAGTTCTGGGCTCCTCAGTAGAAGAGAGACATGGAGTTCCTGGAGCAGGTCCAGTGGAGAGCAAAGATGATTAAGGGCTTGGAGCATCTCCCTTACATGGAAAGACTGAGGGAGCTGGACTTGTTCAGCCTTGAGAAAAGAAGGAGACCTCATCACTGTTTATAAGTGGTGATGAGGTTTCCAGGCTCTTACCGGTGGTGCCAAGCAATAGAGCAAGAGGCAATGGGCAGAAACTGATGCACAGGAAATTCCACCTGAACATGAGGAAGAACTTCTTTACTCTGTGGGTGACTGAACAATGGAACAAATTGCTCAGGGAGGTTGTGGAGTCTCCCTCATTGGAAGAAACTGCAATGTGCTTTAGAATGACCCTGTTTGGGCAGGAAGGTTGAGCCAGATAACCCATTGTGGTTGCTTCCAACTTCACCCATTCTACAATTGTGTGATTCTGTGAAAAAGGTAACTGAAGCACAAACATTCTTGAGAATCTCTCATGATGACTTGAATTGTATCAAACACAGGTAGAATTAGAAATATTAAATCTAACTGCCACCCAATAGTATTTATGTTGGATAGTATCTTAATTTTTAGATCATGAAAAGAAGACCCAGTGAGAATGGATGTGGTTATAGAAGCCTCAAAATTGTTGTCGTAAAAATGATTCTTGAAATCTTGATCTGTTCTTTTTTTATGCTTTCCCTTTAGGTATTCCCTATGTATTTACTTGTATTTGCTTTATATACATACTTTGGATTTTGTACATATCAGTCCACAAGACTTACAGAACTAAATGTTAGAGTAAGGGAGAATGAGCAAACTCTGTACTTCTTACTCCATGTGGAAGACAATTCTTAATGCCTGATGTTTTAATATATTTACATATAAGAATGCTTTACACCATATTACAGTAGTTGATTGACTTTTACCTCAGGTGTGTATTATATCATTTCACAGGGACTGCAAGGCCCTCCAGGACCTGTTGGACCCAGAGGACTGCCAGGAGAAGCTGTATGTATTGTGCCATTTCTCCAGCTGTAGCTGTGGTGTGTGCACAGTTAGCCAGTGAAGCAGTGCCACCATAGCTGCTCCTTTTGTGGGTGCTACTGTAGCTATCAGGGGTTGAAGCACAGTAGGATGGGATGCCTCCCTCAACAGGCCATTATCTTGAGTTTCACTAAACCATCTATATCGTGCTTCTGACACTGTTTGACAGCCTGGAGTGGATCTGGGTATTGGGGTCACTGAAATGAGAGCTTTTACCCATCCTGATTTTCTCTCACTTGTTCCCCTGTTAGCGTTATGTTCATTGGGTCCTGGCTCTCCATCTGGGAGATCATTGCTTGGCTGGGATGGTTAAGCAGCAAGTTCTCTCGGTTTGTGTTGTGCAGCTGCTCGCAGTTACCAGGCACAGATGTTACTGGGCAAGGCTCCTATAGAATATTAATCCCAATATTTCCAGGTGGGATGTGCCTGGCTTCGTCTGGGCCTTGCTGCTGGAAAAAGGTGGCAGCTGTGGTATTTCACCTCAGAGATACCCTTGGCTGGATGGATGCTGCAGCTGGACACTCAGAACAAATCCAGGCATAGTAGGAACTCAGTTTACGTCTGGTGGAAAAGGTTCAGGTGACGGTGAAGAGAAAAGAGTGGATTCTATCGTAGAGTTTTAATCCAGAGTTTTATTCCAGGATGGCAGACCTCTGAATGTGGTAACAGCTCCCAACAGAATCCCGGCTGCATGGTCTCGTCTCCTTTTAAGCCCTGGGGACAGGGGGAGGGGAAGGGACAGGTGAGGGCCAGCCAGGTGTGAGGAGGGGAAGGCTCAAGGGATAAAGACACTTGGACAGGCCAATGAGCCCGGACCTGAGGGGCATCTTTTGAGCTTCTGCCAACCACAAACGCCCTTGCTGGAATGTTAGGATTGATGGACAGCTCTTAGCAGGAGGGCAAAAAAGGGGGAGGGGAAAGGTTGGCACACCTGAGAGGTTGGGATAGGTGAAACAGGAAATCACACTGCAACAGGCTCCCAGAAATGTAGTGTGCTTGTGGGTGTGACACTGGAGGATTGGGAGTGTCAAGCAGTGGTACTTCTCAGCAGAGCTGGAATGTTCCTGTAGTCATTGTGCTTTTGGGTGCTCCACATTCATTCAATCTGCCAGCTGATTGGGCAAGGTGATGAGGGTCTCCTTCACGGGGGTTTTAGTGTCCCTGTAACAATTATGCCACTGGGCAGCAGCCAGGTGGGTCTCTCGGCTGGTTGGAATTTCTCAAACTGGTAGGCACCTACCCCAAGATCAGCACACTTGTAACCCTTGTGCCTCTGGGAAGAACAAGAGTAAAATCTCAATCCAGTCTGAATTGTCTAAGAAACATCTTCAACTATTAATCACCATTATACTAAACTTGAAAGTGCCCCGGGCATTTGATTTGATACCCACAGACAGCAGAAGCCTCTCCTGGGCCAGTGGCTGCCTGTCTCCCTTCCAAATTATTAAGAGGGCATAATCCCTCTTTCAGTGTGCAGACAACTATTTTCTGCCTAATTCCTTGTGTTTCAGTCCACAACACTAGTGGTGTCACATAACCTAGCAAGTGGCACCTACCCCCTCTTCTTGGTTTTTGTACCTCCCTTCTTCCATAAGACAGAAAATGGTTTTAAATAACATTTTGGAGGTAAGAGTGGTTAGATCTGAGAGGTGGATTAAGAAAAGCAGACTATAAAAATCTTAACTTTAGCCTAGGAGTTCAGCCACTCACTTAAAAAGGACTGGGATTTCAATCATTACTCTGTGTGTGTGGTTTTGGTTTTTAGTTTTTTTCTACCAGCAGAAGCATCTAGAAGATGGTGTTGCTGCATTTTGCCTTAGGACTTTCCACACATGCCCTGAGCCTACATTGTGGAAGAAGATCCTTATTTTGAACAGACTTTTAAGCCATATACTTTATTAAGATTAAAATACCCTTCTGAGTGGTACAGAACTGGGAGGCTTTATTTGGTGACCTATTAAAAGTCTTAGGGATATAAGCAAGGAGACCAGTAGAATACAGCATCTTCAGCCCTTGACAAGGGAAAAAACCACCCATATTTAAATTTGCATGTAGTCATTTTCTACTGTCTTACTTATTGACAGTCTTATTATATCTCACTTTCCTACTCAGTTGAGGCATATGTTTTTTCAGTTGTGTCTGATTTACTTATCATCTATTTAAAAGTTTGTAAGCCTTATCTGCTGTGCTTCTTTTTATGTATAAATCACCAATCCTACTGTGAAAGATAACAAAATACTCATTTCTCTCTTGCTTGTGTTGCCATCATCCCACTTGAGTTCATAGTTTCTACTTTTGAAAGTGGTGTTCTGATGGATCTTTGATCAAAAGAACACTATAAACAGATAAATACTAATTATAATATATGTGAGTCCTAAATATAGATGATCCTGAAGACTCCTATCTGTGCACAAAATTCTAGTATGTAAAAACATACATTTAAATGTATTATAGAGACAATGTCCTTAGCTATAAGCTCCTTGTTATTTTATCTTCTAAAGATGAAGCATTATAGATTAAAAAGTATAATAATTCATTTTATACAGTATGATAAAAATTGTGAAAGTTTTAAAAATTGTTTTACATTAAATTACATTGTCAAATGTAATTTGTAGTCATCTAGCAGATAAGGATTACTTCTTTCTTTCCTAAGAAACCACTTGAGCTTGGCCCAAAAAAAATAGGGGAAATCCTTAGAAAAGAAGAGAGAGGAGAGGCTGTATGTATTTTATACCAATATCAAGAGTGGATAGGGTAGGCCATGATCAGTAAGCATAAATTTTCATTTCCATAATGATTTTATGTTGGTATAAGCAGAATATTCTTCATTAGGGTACTTTTTTTCCTATGCTTTTAGTTTGGATGCCTGGGTGAAACAAGTAGCTGTCTGTCTGTATTAAGTACAGAATGCAGCAGAGAAAGCAAACACAGCTGCTGAACATTCACTACTGGCATGAAAATGTTGTCATCTGTCGTATGTCAGTGTGCACAAAACTGTGTTTTACACTGAGAAGAAAAATTAAAACAATATGTGTTTCCTTGTCTTTTTCTCAGAGAGTTCATTTTTCTGTCCAGCTTAAGTTTCATACTAAGATTTTACTGTTCAGTTTGGGCAATTTTATCCTTTACTGTGAAAATTACTGGTATTCTTAACAAAATGCTTGACTAAATAGTTGGTTGAATAACATTGAAGGGTCATGGAAAAAGTTTTCTGTATTTGTTGCAGTATTGTGAAAGAACCCAATTAAGCCTTACTTGTTATTTAATAGTTTCTATTTAGATCTTAATCTTCTTCATTTATCTTCATTTCTCTGCATCTATAAAAATCCTTCATGAAAAGGAAAAGGGAAAATACTGAAGTTAAAATCAAAATGTGAAAGATGAGAAGATTTAGACAAAAGAAAGGCTGGAACATACTTTATTTACTGAAAATGTTTGACTGTCCATTACATATCTATAACATTTAAAAGGAATTGTTGGATTAACTAATGTAAGGAGTAGAAATTAATTGAGGCTTTTAAGATACCAGTTTGAATAATTAACTAGTACAGGAAATCATGCAGCCCTCCATGGGCAAAAGAGATGAGACACTTACTTAAAATTCAAGTTTTTATGTGCTACTTCTTTCCTTGAAAAAACAGTTGATTTTCAAGACTTGGAATTACTTTGAAATAGAAGAAATAAAAGTTTTGGTCTCTGCAATTCTCCCTAGCAGGGTCCAGAAAATAATCTTGATTATTACATTTTAACTTAAAGAAAAATGATTTCTATATTTAATTATGGAGGCATTCATTAACTTATAGTCTTTAACATTTGGGGTCAATACTAATGCACAGTAAATATTGCAGTGTAAACTGATTTTCATCTGTGTTTTTATATAACCATTAAGGGAATAGCTATAAAAATGTACAGTTATATTTTTATTGATTCCAGGGCTTACCAGGAGATCCTGGGGTACCAGGAAACCCAGGAATTAAAGGAGACAAGGTATGTTTTAAGTGTTTTTCATTAAGCTTGATATGTTCAAGCATTTTAAATTTTCTTTTCAAGAGAAACCTTCCATTTTTCCATAGTTCATCTGTGTGGCTGCTGTGTGAAGTGATTTTAAAATGTACCAGCAGCAACCCCCTGTGTCTTGGAGAAGAAACATCTCTGCATTTGGAGATGGTTCAGGCCAGTTTGGCAACCCAGTTGCTCTTTAGATGAATAATTTAAGTAATATTTCAAAGAGATTGGACTGTGCCCTTATATCTGGGCTGTGCAGAAATGTCACTTCAGGTCCTGACTACAGAACAACCTTTTCAGGGTAGTGTCCTACCCAGACTAATGTGTAAAATCCCACTTCACAGTCAGACATATTCCTCTTGGCAGAGCTCTAGGGCAGCTACACTGGCTCAGATGTACAATAAGACTGGATCTCCTTAGGACATTGTATTTTGCTGTGTAGAAATCCCTTAGTTAGAATTCAGCTCCATCAGCAAGGACTAAAAATTATGTGTGTATATACTAAATGTAAAGAAGGTGAAAAAAGAGGATATACAGGTGTGCTCTGAGCTATGGGATATGTTGTGGTATTTATACACTGTGGGGTGGGTACAAGGGAGACCAATAAACTCCAGTCTGAAGAAGTGAGCTGAAAGAAAGGCAAAGAAAATAACTGGAGCAAGGACAAAAATGTACTTGTCTTGCAAAATGGGAAGTGGTGGGTTCAGAAAGAATCACAGAGGGTGTTGCAGGAGCCTGCAGGAGACAAGAGGCCAGCATAACAAAAGGCCCAATTTTACTGCATAAGCAGCAGAGTTTAGCCGTGTGGAACAAGAGACACTGCATGTATTGAAATAAGAGCAGAGGTGTAAAGAGGAATACGCTGAAGACCCCAGGTTTAGCACTAGTGGTTGATAGCTGGGGAGAGACAGCTGTTGTTTCAGCTGCTGTTATGAATTAGTTGGCAGAGTTTAATGACAACCTGCATATTAGGAGCCTGGGGAACAAGAAATGTAGATCAGATGCATTGCAAGCATGGAAAACCAAGAGAGTGCTGGTTATTATTGATGGTTATATGACCCATGTCTCCAATTCTGTAACTTTTTGAAGGAAAATTTGAGGGTATTTTTTCTTCTCTATATCTTTTCAAAGTACTGGCACTTTCTATGATAAACTTGATAATATTTAGAGATTTTTCATAGGGAAAAATCCGCACATTTCAGTTAGTGATTCAAATTTATATTGTAGGGTGACCCTGGTGGAATTATGGGACCACCTGGACATCCAGGTCCAAAAGGTGATATGGGGCCTCCTGGACCAAGTCTGCCTGGAACACCAGTAAGTCCATAATCTGAAAAGTCTCTCCTGACTTTATTTTCTGCAGGGGCAACTGGGAAAGAATTCTCACTGTACAATGAAAGAAATCACAGAATGGTTTGTGTTGGAAAGTAATTTAAAGTTCATCTAGTTCCTACCCCCTTCCATGGGCAGGGGACATCTCTCACTAGAGCAGGTTGTTCAAAGCCTCATCCAACCTGGCCTTGAACACTTCCAGGGATGAGGCATCCACAACCTCTCTCAGCAGCCTGTTCCAGTGCCTCCACCCTCATGGTAAAGAATTTCTTCCTAGTAACTAATCTAAACTTAGTCACTTCCTGTTAAAATCCACAAAGCAAGTATTTTTTCTTATTGCAATTTCAAAATCAAAATATATTTTACAGTGGTATTATAAGTGCACTAAAATATAGAAATAGTGTCCATCTATTAGTCTATTAGTGTAGTCTAGAGATAGTGTAAGTATCACATATGAGCCTAGTGACACTGGCACTAACAAGGAAAATATGTAAACTTGTCATAGTTTATTTCTAAGGGCTGGCTAATTTTGGCCATTAAATTCATCTAGTCTCTTGGATTTGAAAACATAATTTGGTTTTTTGTCTTGGTTTTTTCCTGTTTTGTTTTGTTTTGGGTTTCTTTTAGGGTCCCACTGGTGTTCCTGGAAACCCAGGTCCAAGGGGTCCAAAGGTACGCCAAATACATTATTTCTGTTTCTAAAAATATTTTAAAATTTTATGTTATTTTAAAAGAGAATATGATAGTTTGCATTTCCAGAGCTGTTGTGATGGAAAGCCTTGTACCTTTCACAGGGAGAAAGAGGACTACCTGGTGTACAGGGAGCACCTGGGGAGATGGGGCCCCCTGGAATAGGCATTCAGGGATCACCAGTAAGTAAATCAGCACCCAGAATTTGGGCTTCTTGCTGTTCATCACTGAGCAACTGCAATAGGCAAACAAAGCACGATGAAAAGCCATGAACTCCCTTCTGGCCTGACTCCCACCTCCCAGTTTGCTTCAAGGGTTGCTGTGCAGTTTAAGTTCAAACATGCAGCAAGTTGACACAAACATCTGAGGCATTCACAGTAAATCATTTGTTCAGCAATAACTGTTTCAGTTATTCTGCTTGTTTCCCAGGTTTCTTTCTTTTTAATGCCTTTAAATAAAGCCACCAGCAGTGCCTTCAGAGTTTGCAGTAAAAAAAATTGCTGATGTTGATGGTGTACCTGGTAGGTGGTACATGTTATTGCAGGAGTTGTACTGCAGTGAAACAATCTCTGCCTCTCCACTGAGGCAATCTCTCTTCTGTCAACCAATGTGTATCACCTGATACAATTCAGTTCATGGACAGTGCTCTGGTATAAAGGGAAAATATTTGTGAAAGGTGACTAGGCATTCACCCTGAATGTTTTAATCTAAAATAATAATACTTAATATTTTCAGATACAATATTTTCTAATCTGAATTTTAAAAATTACCCATTTATATGTAAATTATCTGTTTCTATTCAACTGCTCATTAGCTTTTTTAATGGATCTTCTTGCTAAATACCAAGTTTCAGCACAGATCATTAATTTTTGGAAATGCTTGCCCTAAAAAATGGGCATTTGCAAAGTCTTGAGGTCTCTAACTTTGGCAAAATTACATGTGGATTTAAAACCAAACCTTAAAGTACGCCTTTCTCAAAGTGAAAACTGCACAAATATCCCACATTCAGCATTTTTAAATGAAGTTCATCTCCCTTATCCCACAAAGAGTAATTACTGATTATTTGGAGTTTTCTTACAGGGTCCTATAGGTCCAGCTGGATCAGCAGGTGTGCAGGTAGGGTATAAGTTTCTTCCTAAATACAAAAAGCATTAATTTAGTTTAAGAATTTTGCAGGAAAGGTATTCTTATATCCTAAATGACCTTCCATGCTCTTAGGGCCCTAGGGGACCTCCAGGATTGCCAGGAGCTCCAGGTACCCCTGGTATTAATGTAAGTGACAGTTTTATATATATACAAGAAAAATAATGTGTACCTCATCAATGGTTTAGGCCCTCAAGTTTTCCATTTGTTTCTAGGGCAGCCCAGGAAGAGATGGAAAGCCAGGACTACCAGGCCCTCCAGGTGATCCTGTACGTACACAGGGAAAGCTTCTGCATTTGCTTTGGTGCAAATATATCAAATTTATATGAGATGAGATAGCATAGCAAGCCTAGAAGAACCAGTGATATGAAGATAAGCTAGAAATACTTACTTGGGAAAGACAGAAAACAGCTATGTTATATACTTGGCCTCAATAAAACTGAGACTGTCATCATGATATTTCTTTAAGCTTAGAATTAATTACCATGTAGTTAATGCTTATCAAAAATCATGGATCTGAGTGTCATTTAACAGATTATTCTCAGCAGATTATTCTCAGTTCTTGTCAGTGATTTAATTTGATTTGAGTAAGTAGATAAAACTCCGAAACTGGAGTGGGAAAGATTGCTTGCTTTTTGAAGATGTAATCAAAATTCAGAGGCTGTCTGAAGTCAACAAGATTTAACTCAAGACAGATGAGGATAAAGTGCTTAATAATGAAACCCAAAATCCATAAGTAGAATAACTCTGGAATGCACAGCACATTGTAAACTAAATGTAAGTAAAATATTTGATGCTGGTATTAAACAGACAGGTCTAAATGGTAAAACTCACAAACAGGACAATTATTGCCTTTTGCTCTCTTGAAATAATCTTCTCTTTGGAAAAAACATTTTTTCCAGGAAGATGTAGTAAGCAGGAGTGAATCTGGAGAATTAAGACCATTTTAACACTCTCAAAATCCTAGCATAATTCATAGACTTATTCAGAGATCAACACACAGATTTGTGTCTCTGGAGAGTGTTTGCAGCCAGGCTGGTACACCCAGAGCAGGGGGGCTGTGTGGCACAAATGCAGTTGGCTTGGTCATGTACATGTGTGCCCTTTGCAGCTGGGGTTAGGACCCTTCCACACCCAGGGTTTGGGGTTCTGTGCCAGACATTGATAGAGCAGCTAAAATAAGAACATCAGAAAAGAGGAGACTGGGGAAATTACACTTCTAGTCCAGTAGGAAGACCAAGAGGTGATATGCTAATAGCCTGCCTAGCTGAAATATGTCCTAAGGAGAAGGGTGATAAGTCAGGCCATGTAGGTTTTTGCTTTCAAGTCTTGTCACAGGTTTTTAAGAGCAGCTGATCCTGTCTATGTACAGTTTACCTCTGTGCAGAGGATGGACTCACACCTTACATAACTATGTCCTCAAGTTGTGCTAGGTGGTGTTGTCTCACCCTAAAAAACAACTTGGCATGCTTTCAAAGGTGGTTATGCCACCCTATAGATGGTGTACTGATTATATTTCTGGTTAATTATATTCAGCAGTGCATCTCTTGAGCTGGTCTTTGACACTCATTGCTTTTAACTGACAGTCTTTGGAATATACTAAAGAAAGTGCTTATATTTTATTTTTCTTATTTAAGATGGAAAGAATTGAAACAGGCTAAACAAAAAGTTAGCTTATTTTGGATGTGTCTAATTTTATAGTATGCCCAGGATTGATATGATTTTAGATTTAGGAATTGTCAGAAAAAATGAGAATTAGTAATTGGAGAGTCTGTGAATGAAGCTGATGATGACTATGGCAATGAGTTTTTAACACGGAGTCTTTAAATATAAATTTAATGGCAGGTCTTGGAAATCTGGGATCTGTTTCAGTACAGTATAGATCCACTGACTGATCTTTAAATGGCTCAGCTTTAGGATTGGTAGCAATTTAGCAGTGGCACCAAGGAGTTACACACTAACTATTAATGTTTAAAGGCAGGAAAAATATTACATATGTTGCTTTTGTTGCTGTAGCTGGATTATTTCCAGTATCTGAGCTAATTTATTGAACTTAGCTTTGGCATCTCCAGAATTTGTACTACAGATGACAGTAGAGTCAAAGCCTAGGAGAAAGGAGGAGGAAAACAATTGAAGAAAATCAGGTGAGAGTACAAGACATTCCAGTAACACTGAGCTGTTGCTGATGTGCTACAAAAACAATATTAGTGTATGTTCAGGAGTAAGGCTGTTGTCATGGTTTGAGACATTTCATTGAATTTATAGTTAAGAATTACAATCAGTAAGTTGGGTAGACTGTGATATTTAACTACATCTGAAAACCTGTATTTTCTTTTGACTTTTCATTAAAGAGTAGATTGAACCCACATACATATATAATCAGCTCCATGTGTAATGATACAAAGTTTAGAAGCAATGAAAACACATCAGAATCAGTAGTGCTTTGTAAAACATTAACTGCATATTCCTTTTTAAATTTCAGGTTGCACTTCCACTTGTGGGTGACATGGGTGCTATACTGAAGGTAAATTTTTCAGAGATTAAATGTCTTTTTTTGCTATAACATGCTTTTTAAACAAACATGAACTTGAGAGCTTTTGTAGGTACAGTTCTGACTTATATGGCTAGCCTAAAATAGCATTGTGATTTTTTTTTAACTTTTTGTTTCTTTTTAAAAATACTCCAGAAATTAATTTTATAGAAATTTTGCAAAATAGTGTTAGAACAGCAAGGGAGATGGTAGCCAGCAAGGGCCTATTCAGCATATCCAGTCCACAGTATGAATTGCTACAAATATACCTTGTTCTTCACTTTACTTTGTAGCATTAATTTCAGTAATATACCAAATGGGGAAAATAGTCTAGAATTTCTAAGATATTATTTTGAAAAATAATGAAATTTGAAGTGTTCTGCAATATTCCAAAATGAAAACTGTGCTCAGGAGTATTTCAATATGAAAAGCTCACATCATTTCTTCTGTCCTTTATTAATACATGTACTTAGGGTTTATTGACTTTCTCATTTCCAAATATGATTTATTTTAGGTCTTTCCTTTTGATTGTAATTGTGCTGCCTTTCTGCTGTACATGCTCTTCTTGTCAGAGCTCTCTCTCTTGCTGCTTCTTTAAGCCTCATTCTTCATTTCTGGGTGTTTTGCAGTTAGCACTTCTGCATGACTGCAATTTAGCTGGCAAATGCTTCTCTCAGCAATGCAGGGGTCATTTACTTTTAAATAACTACAGATTTGAAGCTGGAGAGAGTAACAAGTAGCCTTCATCTCTAACTAATCCTTGAAAGGAAGATGCTCAAACCTAAACACAGGTGTGTCTGGGGCTATCCAAAGTAAAGCTAAAAATGTGTTAGTATGGTGTGAGTAGAGAGTGTGAGAGATGCGGAGGAAAACAAGGAAGTCTCTCTGAGCAAGTACATGGTTTAGAAGAGAGCCAGGACTGAAGAGAAGCTTTGGGTTAAAAATGGAGGCCTGGGCAGAAAACAGGAAGGAAGCAATGTGCATAGATCAGTCTGCATGGATCAGATCTATGTCATAAAAATTTTATTTGTCACTTCATCTTCTGTCTGCTCCACAGGGTGATCCTGGCACAAGAGGTCCTCCAGGCATTCCTGGCAGAGAAGGACCAAAAGTAAGTTTTGGAGTGTACTTTTCATTGCTTTGGTCCTTGTTAAAAGCAAAAAGACAGATTCTTACCTTTGTGAGACTTGACTTTTTTGTCTCACCTGTATCCCTGCAGCATTGGGCAGCCTAAAACTTCAAATGATTTTTATGTTCCAAGCCTCTTCATATGTCAGTTTGCCTTTTCTAGGTTGAGTGAGCAAAATAGCCTGAATTGAGTCCCAGGCCCAGATAGCTTTTCTGTGTCATGCCTCCATTAAAGCTGGCTCAGATCTGAGTGCCCAGCATGCTTGGCTATCTCTGGGCTCATTTTGGGTGAGTCATTCACACGCGAATCCTGCAGAGAAGAGGCAAACTCCCCCTGTCTCCCTCGTGTGCAACACAGCTGGAGCACCCTGTGCCCTTGCCCCTGTTCCCAAGGGAGCAGCACAGCCATTTCCCTGGGCTTGAAGTGTCACTGGCCTCAATCAAAATCCTGCTTCTCTGGAATCACATAAAAAGCCACATGGTTTGACATATAAATATCTCCTGTCATCGAGACTAATTCCATGGAAGTGAACTTTCTCCATTTCAGCAAGCACTCAAGCTCTTTGGTGTTAATGTCTCCATCTTAAGGTCTTTTGAGTATTTTGCCTCCTAGGAACAAACCATTAATTTCCTTTCACCTTGTGGGGAGGTTTGTTTGAAAGTTTTCAGATGGTTTTGAGCTTTTGCTTTATGTTTTAGGCACTATGACTGTAAGAGCATCGTGCTAGCATTTATTGAATGTATATAAAATGCCCTACAGAGCATGAAATTCATTGTTCTCTAATAGAAAATATTTGTTTGAATGTTATGTTTTCATAGGGAAGCAAAGGTGAACGTGGATTTCCTGGGCTTGTGGGGGAAAAGGGCGATGAGGTAAAATTACTTCATTTCTACAGTGGTAGCATTCTTATCTGAACCTGAGTAAAGACCTAGACTGAAAATTAAATGCACAGAATGTTATTTAGTTCTTTACAACTGCTGTGATAGTAATGTAGTGCTATAAATAGCCCTTGATTCTGATTTTTCAATAGGATTGAATATTATTATTCAGTTAAATAACATTGAGTTGATTTTCATCAGTGAATTTTTGCTCATTTGTATATTTTAAAGCCTCACATACATTTACATGCTAATCTTTAAGGATGTAGGATACAGCAATAAATAGGCTAATGCCAAATATTTTCAGAAAATGCTTCATGTCTCTAACATATTTGCTTTCATTTGGTTAGTTCCCCTTTAGAATTCACTTTTGAAAACTTCCCATTAAGCAAATAATCTGATGTGAACAGTAATAGCAGCAACTACTATAAAATGGAAACTGAAAAATATTTGAATAGGCTGAATTTAAAGTATTTACAATATTTTGCATCTTATATTACATTCTTAGAGTTATTTTTATGTCTTTATGGAGAAGGGAAAAAAAAAGCCAAATGACTTGTGGTGCCAAATCCAAAATAGCTGCTATAGCTTTCATTTTCAATTGAAATATTTGCAGTTAACATTTCAAGAACACTATCAGTGAAAAAGAAAAAAAAAATAAAAGTCACCACAGCAGAAGCTATTGAGGAAATTAATCTGGATAAATAAATGAATTTCTTAGTGGCCTTAGCCAACTGAGGAGTTAAAATAAGTAGCCCATTAAAAAGTATGTGGTGAGAACTTTGAAACTCCAAACTACTTAACTGGGATTAAACACGTCTATTTTAATTTAGGAGTGCTGGTTACAAGACACAGCACCTGGAAAATACAAATCTAGAATCTAGAGTGTATTGATTGAGGGGTTTGTAATTCTTTATAAGCATTTCACATTCCTTCAGCGCTAAGGCCATGATAGCTTAAGAATTTTTAAAGAGTAGTAGAATAAGAGAATATTTTCCCCAAAAAATGTGTTTATCAGTATTCTTGGCTTACAAAAGTACACAGTTGTATGTGGACAAAAAGATGCAGCTCCTGCTACTGTTTTGCCCCAGAATTTAGCATGTTGTCAGCCTAACGTATCATGCTTATTTTTTTCTTAGGTTTTATATGATATATATAGAGCTCATTACATATATATTTTACATATATATTACATATATATTTGGTTTTAGATGATGATATGTAGACCTCACACCTCATGAGCCTCCTGAGGTGGAATTAGGAACATATTCCCTATAAGGATGGTGCAGCCAAAAGCAAATTTCATTCAGAATTTTACTTAAAAAATAAATGGGAGAGTACCACATACTTTGTGCCATATAGGATACCTCTAGCAGTCAGCCCTAGGAGGAATGAGGCATTAGCAAAACAATCTTGACAATTCAAATACTATTAAAAAATAAATAAGATATTGCAGGGAATTAAGAAGTTAATAATGTAACAGCAACTTTATGTCTGGCAGATGTTTTTAAAGTAGTCTAGAGCAAATTCATTGTATATTTTTCATTAATGCTGTGTTAATAAGTTCATTATTCATATGTTTCCTCACCTTTTGAGAGTTGGTTAGCTCTGATATTTTCACTTTGCAGCAGCTTTTGGATATGACATGGTGAGGGTGGAAGTGAAGCTTTTTTTCAGAATCATGTATGAAAATATTTTAAAAGTAACTTCTTTTTACAAATTTCACTATTTTTATTTTGATCATTTCTTTGGAATGGGAAGAAATGGGAAGAAAGAGAGAGAAGCCTACCTGAATCCCTTTGAAATATGCTCATTAACTTCCCTGTGCTTTCCAATCACCCTTTAATCTCTGTTGAACTTATCTTCATTTTCAAAGCACTTCTTTTTTCCAGGGAAGGTTTTTTTAATATCAGTAGTAAGAATTACAGAAGATGTTCCTTTGGTTTCATATTAATTTTTCATGTAAATATACATCAGAGTAAAGGAGTTCAAAAGGAGCAGAGAGCACATGAGCAGTTACCTTGCCACTCTGAAAAGCTGCAGAAGTGGATCAATGTCCTCTGTATGTAGGAGCAAGAAAGAAAAATCAATGTCTCTCCATCTCTACATTTTTGCTGATTTATTTCTCTCCAAATTTTTTCCCTCAGTCTCCCTCTCAGAGCACCAATTTCAGGGTTCCTGACCACTGTGGCTTTCTAGGCTGCCTCCTTAGCCATTCCTTCTTAAACCCTGCATTTCAAATGAGAAATACTCCTTTTCTGAGGGGATTTTTCTTGTCAGAGGATGGACAGATGAAATCAACCACTGCTTGGAAGAATCCATTTCTCTTTGTGGGTTTTAGGGAGAACCAAGAGTGTTATTTCTCATTTGTACATCACTTTCACATGTCTAAAATTGCACCTGAGCCTGGTGTGGCAGAGGAAAGACACTCAGTGACACACGGGCTTGTCTCAAATCCCACCTCCATCCACTGCAGTGAGTTGCACTGCTGTCATGTTTAGTAAGTGGATACCAGAGTCCATTGATTTTCAGACCATCAAATAGAATACCAGCAGGAAAGTAGATCATTAAATACTATGTAAAATGTCATGTTCAATTACCAAAAAGCCAAACCAAAACTGAGGCAGAAAGTACCATTTCATTTAGATAGCATCAGGTAATATTGAGAAGCCTGCTTAAATGTCTTCTCACCAGAAAAAAACAACCTTTTAATAAAAAAAAAATTGAAAATTAATCTCTAAGGAAAAACTTGACATCTGTTCTTATCTGCACAACTAAGGACAAAACTATTTACAAAATGTAGGATAAAAATGTGAAAGGTTGAAGGACAAGTGGTGTTTATCACTCAAGAAAGAAGTTGCCTCTAACCTGGTTCAATGATAACCTGGTTCAATGATAACCTGGTTCTCTTCCCCACCTGGTGGGGTGGTTATTTTTTTTAGACATTACTAAAAATAATGCCTACATTTTAGAAGAAAATGCACTGTAATACAGGTATAGTACAGCTGGACATGCTGAATATAAGTATTTTTGAAGGATAAGTGGGAGAGGAACTAGGCATGTGCTCTTTTAATCTCCAGGGTCTCCAAGGTGCTCCTGGACTGCCAGGTGTGTCAGGACCCAGTGGCCCATCTGTAAGTATCACCTGTGATCTAATTTATTTCTGTAGGGCTTGCTATAACTGCCTAGATCTAGTCCTTTCTTTTATCTTTTAGGAGAGTAATAATAAAATCTTACCCATTCTGGCTCTAGTGAAGTAAACTATACTGCTGTTGATGTTACTGAAAATACCATAATTGTCTGGACTCAAAGTTTATGGAACTTAAATAGATTTGAAGTTTTGACATTACTAGAGAATGTGTGAGGTTACATGATTTATGATGTGCAAACTTGCAGTGAAATGTGTATTTTTACCCAAGTTAGAGTCATGTTAGTAATAAAATCTAAAAATAATTCCAGCTAGTCATTCTGAAAAAAAAACTTCGTGCAAAAACAAAGTAATTACTTGGTTTCACAATTCAAAACCAAAGAATGAGAAAAAGCTGGCAATATTTAAAGACACTGAAATATATCATTAAAATTGTTGGTATTACTGGGAGAGGTCCTCTTGGAAATGTTTTGAAATATTCTTTTCTACATATGGGAATGACATTAGTTAGTATAATCATTATTCATTCCCAGGTTTCATGACAATACTAATACTTCTTTCAAAAATTGTAGCACATTTAAGAAGTCTAATGTGGAATACATAAATTGGCATTTAGCAGTAAAACGTGATTCTCAGCTGGATCAAGATGTGCCAGTTAGGGTCACCACATTTAATTTGCCAAGGTGAAAATGCAACAGTCAAGACGTGTTTTACCCTTCAAAGAACTTATCAGGAGGACACAGCTGTTGTATCAAAGAGAAGAGAAATATTGAAACCTGAAGGAGAAGTATAATTAGGTTTAAACTACCTCCAAAAAGCGTGTTGTAAAAACTTAGTGACACTGCAAAAATATTGTGTGTCCTTTTTTTCCTAACTTATACAAACAATTCTGTGTTGTGCAGGGAGTCCCAGGAAGACCTGGACATCCTGGTCCAGCTGGAGCAAAAGGAGAAAAGGTATTCCTTCTTTTTAATCTTGGTACAGGTCTGTGAAGGTTTTGCAATCCCATTACACTGTCTTTTGGGGGCCTTTTAAACAAATGCAAGAGTGTAACAAGAATGTGGCACACATTTCAAATTTTTATTTGTGTTTCACTACAACTTTCCCTAAACAGGGCTGTGCATATGGCCTTATATTTTGAAGTACAGTCCTTGTGGTGTATTTAAGTTGCAGAGAATTTTCTTTAGGCATAACACAATATATAAATTTTAGGAAAGTGAAAATATGTTTCTCACATAGAATATGACTAATGACTTCTTGCTGTGCTTCTTATTCTTTTATGAATATTATGTTCAAAAGTAGTTGTACAAGCACTGAAAGTTATTGGGTGTTAGTTAGTCTGAAAAATTATGTGAGTTTCCTTTATACTTAATTTACATTCTCATATATAATCTGTATATATATGTGTGTATATATATATATGTATGTATATGTATATATATACACATATATATAAAGAACTGCTTTTTTCAAAATTTTATATGTTCTTTTATCAGGAACTGGATATTATGAGGTCAAATTCATTTTTTGGGTACTTCAAATCAGAGCAATACTGCAGAGCCAAACTTTGCTGCAAAATCCTTTCTGGGACCAGTTCTACATTTTGTGTATGAATACAGCTTTTCTTTCAGTAGTACTCTGGGCTTTTCCAGGCACAGCACTGCCACATCCACATGTAGGATTCTAATTCCCTACAAAACTTTGGTATGACTAAGAAAGAAAACTGTTTTGTAAAGCTCTGAAATTATTTCAGTATAAAATTGGAATGAGAGTTGTCTCCTTGCAGATCACAGTAACAAAAGTTTACCCAACTTCTTTCCTTTTTTATCTAACTGAATGCAAAACACAATTCTTTGATAGTTCCTTGTTCACAACTCACACACAGGTGGGAATGAGAAGCCCCTGCTCTACAGCTCATGTCTCATCATTCTAAAAGTGGAAAAAGTCACATGGCTGAAGAGTAATGAAGTAAACTGAAATAAAGCCCCAGTAAATTTCTCCTCTGTCCTTCATCTGAGACACACTTGAGAATTGATCACATAATGTGCTTTCTAAAATAATAGGATTTTAATTCCCCATGAAGTTCTTCAAACCACTCTTGGGAGGCTGACAATTTCTAACAATTAACAGGGTCATTTGGAAATTATCCTAGTATAAATGTTCAGTAAGAATTATATTTTTCTGCTGAGCTAATTGTTGGCATTGAGCACTTAGCTTGATTTTTGCCACCTTAGTAATTTTAAATTTGTGACTTAAGTGTATCTCTGACATACATTAAATAAGATCCAACAAAGCCAGTGAAAAATTCTGACAGACTTGTTCCAAATTATACAGTGTATTTATCTCATTTGTGATGAGAGTTTGAGAAGATTAATTGGGAAATTTTATGTTGAAACCTTTGCAGCTCTCTACTATCCACAGGCCCCATGATTCTGCTGCAGAAAAATCTCAGCAGCTATGCCCTGTATAATATAAGCAATTCAGTACACAGTAGCAGAACAGGCTAGAGATACAGGTAACAATGGATGAATATTTCACAGTAAAAACCGAAAAAATATTCATTATATCTCTTAGTAAGGAAGATTATTTAAAAAAATCTTAATTTATATTCAATAGGTTTCTATGTAAACTAAATTTCTGAAACTGTAGCTCTTCTTTATTTACATATGAATGATCAACTGAGGACTGGCTTTTGCAAAATAATACACGAAGCATAAAATTAATGTTAACTTTTATCTGCCAGTTGCTTAGAAATTCATATTAACAACTCTGTTTTTTTCCTTCTTCTCCCTCCTGGTACATATGAAATGATTCCCAACCCAGGTTACCACTGTTATTTTGCCATAAGGAAGTTACTACACATAAAGCAGCAAGTAACTAACAAAATAAAAACTGGTAAAAAGTAATGATTCATGCCTTCCCTAAAGCTAAAGCAGGAACACTGCAGGAGAATTTATTCTTAATATTACCTGCTCTTATTGACTGTATCTCTTGTTTATTGTCATTGTGGTCATCATAGCTTGAGTGTGGAATAGATGTGGCCAGTTACAGTAAATAAGTTACATCAATCTCTTGCTGTACTAGGGTAGTGAAGGTTCTCCTGGGAAACCTGGACCACCTGGGCCTCCGGTGAGACATTTTGTTTTTTATCTTGAATTTATATTAGGAACAACATGCTTGTGGGTAAAATGTAATGTAATGTAAAGAACTGAGTTTTGGTCTAATAAAAATTAATATTGCAGGAAGGTAACAGTGTCTTTTTTCTAAAGGTTTCCATACTCCATTTTTTTTTCTCTCAATTCATCACTGAGTAAGTTCAGATCACTAAAGCCCTTTAAGAATTAGTTAACCTTGGTATCCAATATTATTAGAGTAAAATTGACAGCTTGGATACCTCAGATCAGAGAACCCAGGCAACCTAGGGAAATCTGTGGAGCTCACTGGACTCTAAATTAAGTGGAATAGTACCTAACAAAAAAATTTATCCTGGAGAATTACAATAATAAAAATCAAAATATGATGCACACTGATTTACAGGTTTCTTGGTTTATAATTTTTAAAAAAAGCCCCAAGCTGTCTTAGTGTGTATCTTATTTTCTTCTGGAATGTGGAATCTTTGGCAGATTGAGAACAAAAAGGATACCACAGCTTTGCTGAACTGCAGGACTTGAACAGGGCAATAGTTCTGCCTTTATAATTCATAAGTGACACTTACTTGGTTTTTATGCTTTAAAGGGTATGCCTTACAATGAAAGAAATGGAATGAGCAGCTTATATAAACTGCAGGTATTTCTCTTTAATGTTAATTGCTTTTTTTTCAATCCCCACCCAATTTTAGCCCAACTCAACTTTTAAACTTGCTGTTACAGGGAGGAGTGAGTGTCGCGAGTTATCCGGGTCCACCAGGACCTCCAGTAAGTGCTACCAGAAACCTCATTTCTAGCAGCTAATGGCATAGAAACAGAGAAGGGTTAGTTGCATGGAATTGGATTTTATTTGTGGAAGATTTCAATAATAAGGATTGGTATGTAGCACACATACTGTGATTTTATGTTTGCCAAGCATTTTAGCCCATTTTGGAGAGTGGTTTATTTTGAATAAATCATTTCATCCTAGCAAGTAAAGGCTGCAGAAATGGTACATAATTTGGTATTGGAGCCTTTAGTGAAAGTATTCTTATACTAAAAATGTATAATTTTGTATTTATAGTTCATGGAGGCATAGTTTTGTAGTGAAATTTGGTGCCAGAAATAAGAAGCTCGGGAATTCTGATCTGAGTTCTGTCACTGTTTCACTACATGTAGCTACAGTGCAGGAAAATGTGTAAAATTAAGAATTAGATTGTGGAAGTAATACAGGGCTGGTGTCTTTCACACTGCATGCAGTACCTTGCAGCTGGACAGTGTTGCTTTGGTTCCGTGGATCTAAAGATGCTGTGCCCTTATTTACATTCTCCTCCTTTTTAGCACCATAGGCAAGTTCTGTTTTGAGATGATTGTCTCTTTGGTAACCACAGTTATGGACTGGCACCAAGCAGCAGAGCTGTCTTTCTCTGTATTCTGGAACAGCAAAACAAAACCCAAAACGTTACTAAGATTTTGTACTAAATTAATCAGCTGGGACTGGAATGAATAATGATTCTAAATGCACTGCATTAGCAAAGTATACTCATAATGCAGTCATTAAAAAAAAGCCATCTTACCATGTAACTGTTCTTCTTTAAATGTAGCTTGGTTTTTTGGGTTTTTTTTTTAGGGTCCAAAAGGGGATCCTGGAACAGCGGTATGTATGTATTTTTTGGTTTTGATAGAGAATTCCCCAAGTAGTTTGACACATGGTACTTCTGAAGGACAGTAAGAAATCCCAACCAAAACCTCTCAGCAGTGACAGCCAAACATGCAGTTGTAAGACAGTTTTCTAAAACAGTTTAATAATTTGTTTTCAAAAAAATTCACAAAACTTCTTTTTTTGTTTCACAATAATGCCTGGAAGCTGAATACATCTTTCTGTACTAGCACCTAGTTCTGTAATTCTGTATAACATTTTTCATCAAAATTAAATCATTGAGCCAAATACTCACACAGAGACTCTGAGGAAAGCTTAATTTGTAAATCAGTAAAATGAGGCATAACAAAATCTGTTTACCTAGTAACTGGTTAGCTGTTACAGTAATCTCAAGTTAAATAATCTGCTGTCACTTGCTCTTTAATATTTCCCATGTTGAGTAAAGAAATTCTAATGTATGCAATCTTTTAATTTAAAAAAATTAAAAAACAGGGTGACCCAGGACCAATGGGATTACCAGGACTGGAAGGACTCCCAGGGGAAAAGGTAGGACTCCTAAAAAGAAGGCATGATTTCTTAGCAGCCACTATCTGCAGCTAAACGTTTTCTGAAGCCTTCTTTGGTTTATTTTTCATGTGTAAGTTAATATTTCTATGAGAAAAATCTTCGCATACTTATTTATATTTTCTAGGTTTTTGCTTTAAACAAGCAAAAAACATGCTTTGCAGGGGTGTAAATAGCATACTCACTGAACATAAAACTTCATTTTCTGCAAATGGAAAATTGTGTGTAGGAGCCCTTGTAAAATTCTTGGTAGAATACTACTATAATTGAGAGTAATATAGTTAATATTTTCCTCTTTATGGTTCTTGTTCCCTCTTGAACATCATCTTTTGTTTACAGTCCGTCTGTCTTGTTCTCAGCCTTTTGCTTTCTAATTGTGGAGGCTGATTACAAATTTAAAGAAAAGCTTTTTATAAAAGGCTAAAAAAGGATAAAAAAGTATTCATTTCTAAATATAGCAAAGTGCAAAACATTTAGCAGAGAAATAAAAAAAATCTGTAAATATGTTTTCTGTCAGCAAAACCAGTTTGATTTTCCCCATATCTTCTAATTAAGGAAGAAAAAAGAGTAAATTTTTTTGCAAATGAAATGTTTCTCAGCTTTTTTGAATTATGCTATTAAATGACTTCATGCAAAATTATTTTACTGAAACTTATTTTTCATCACAAAGAAATGTAAATCCAAAGTTTCCCTCGCAATATCACTGTGTATTCCTCCTACTTGCTCAGTCAGTGACAAGATCTAAGGTCTTGTGAAAGATTTAAATAATGACAAGATCTAAGATCTAAAATCTGTACTAGATGCTTAAATTACATGAGATGGTTCTTGCTCTGGAATTCTACAATTTACAAGCAATTAAAGACTAGTCTGGTTTCAAAATGAACAAACACAGGGAGACATTACAGGTCTAACTGAGACAAAGTGGGGACAGGACTTAAATAAAGGGAATAAGCAATGGATCAGATCATATAAACCAGCTGAGTGAGTGTTTGGCCCTCTCCCAAAGTAGAAATATCATTTCCTTAACTGAATTTGGTCAGAATTTCATATTTGTGATGCAAATAAATGAACAGAATCTCAGAGCCTGACAATCCCAGCAATATAGTGCATGCTGGGTTTTAATTTAGAGCCATGATGGTCCTCTGTGTAGCAGAATGCCATCTTCTACAGACAACATTGGCTGTCATGTCATGATGATTTCATGAACTGCTCATGTTCTCTGCATAAAATGTCCCCTACCTCAGGCTTGCTGACAGCAGCTGGTGCAACTGTGCTCCAAGCCAGACTGCTGAAAGGACCAGAATAACCCTGAAAAGAAAAAAAAAATGTTGCTAGGGAAGTGTTAGGCATTTCTAGTTTCACCATCACAGCCAGCATATAGGGAAAACACCACAAGTTCTGGGTCTGGAGTGAGCCCTGGGGCAGAGTGCAGGGCTCCAGAGAGTGTGTCCTGCCTGCTGCAGGCACTCAGTGCTGTGCCACAGGTGGGTGTCCTGCTCCTCACGGGGTCACTGCTGCCAGAGCAGGACAGGCTGAGCTGGGTCCTCTGAGCTGCTTCTCCCAGCCCCAGGTCAGACATGTAACTTGTCATCTGCTACACTGTGTGTGAGGGAGGGAAGTGCTTCTAATCAACAGCAAGATCATTGTGCACCTGAACAGAAGGATGAGGATGAGACAAACCACCATTGCTTATAAGAATAAAAACCAGAAATCCCAAAACTTCCTGGGGCTCTTATGCAGAACACAACGTGGCTGTAGCTGTTTACAGAGCTTTAGTACATCTGCTCCAGGTAACATAAACCCATCTCAGAAAAATACTGTCCTGTTAGTATGGTTTCAACAGTGCCAGGGGTTTTCTGACATAAATTCAGAAAAGAGGAGCCTGATTTTTTCACATTTGTAACCAACATTACAGTAACAGGGCACGGTGTTGCAGACTAACACGTCAGCAGTGGGAAATACCTCTGGGTAGAGTTTTACCACTTGTTGAGCTCTATCTGCTTTGGATTACAGTCCTGTCAAGAAAGATGAGTTTGTGTCTGTAGCTCATCAGTTCCAACCAAAAACACAGCACTGTCCTAGCTTAAAGCATAGATGGAGGTGGCCGTGTGCTGAAACAAGAACCCTTGCCCTGAAAGGGCCGTGGCACAAGCAGAGGACATTGGCTTGTAGTAAAGGGATAACTGGGCAGCAGGAAAGCAAAAACTTCTTTGGAAGGTACATCTTAAATATGGGTATGTTGATAGGAAAGTGAATTACCCTGTGTAAATTCTGGTCATTGCCATGACCACAAACTATAATTATTTGGAGAACTCCAGATAAGTCAGGGACTTTCCATCCCTTTTCAAGGGAGGTCTCACGCAGAAACAAAGGGAAACATTATATGAGAGAACCTAAACAGAGGATTTTGGTTACTTGCTCAAGTCTGTATAATGAGCCAGTGGCACAGATAAATATTAGCATTTAGCCTGGCTCTTGTCCTCATTTTCATTTCACTTCCTTGGGTTTTAATGGGAATCCACCAAGAAACTTCTGGTTTGATTGTTGTAGTTTAAACATAGATTTATCTTTTCTTTAGGGTGACCGTGGACCAGCTGGAGCACCAGGAGTGTCAGGGACACCAGTATGTATATTCTTTAAAGAAAACTCTGGTTTTAGAAGCTGAAAAACCAGGTCAAGCAAGGTGCTGAGCTGTAGTCTCAGTCCTTGTGGGACACCAGTGCTTGGTTTGTGCTTTATATGTAGGTATGATTATGGGTTTTCCCTAAAGAAATTAGAGTTTTAATAGCAGCAAGGGTTCATATTATTATTAAAATGACAGAGCGAGTGAGGTGAATACATGATAAAGCTGGAACTCAAAGCTGCATATGCTTAGTTAAGAAATGTGAGATTCTTCTCATTGCCTCTGTTTAATATAGATAAAGACATTTTTTGTGTTCCTGGGCATGCACAAATTTCTGAGCATCTTTCTATCACAAAGAAAAATCATGAGCATTATTTATTGCAGCCCACAAGGATCTGCATATCAAGTCGATCAAACATTTGCTCTAGGAGAATGCTTTGTCAGCTATTTACATATGATATTCAGAGGAGTTTCTGAAAGTCATAGAGGAACTTTGTTGTAGGTGAAAGTAAAAGTAACTAATAATAAATTGAAATTATAATTATTCATTTGTGTTCCTAAAGGAAATGAAGATATTAGATTTCATTCACCGTTTAATAAAAAAGTTTATCCATATTTCAGGAGGCAATATGGAGTTATTTATATGCAAATAGATTTATTATTAAATTTTGGCAGCTACCAATACATTCAGAAGCTGTTTAAATTATAAATATATGTTTCATGAAATAAAGAGAAATATGTGTCTACACACTCCCATTTCCATTAGCCACTGATTTAGTCTATTTACTGTGAGTTCCAAGAGAGAACATCATCTTAAATAGCCTAATTTCATTGGGTTTTCCTAAAAGAATTGCACATTTAAGGGGAAAAGTATTTCTCTGAGCTTTATAGCAGATGTAAGAATTTCAAAGTTTGTTGTTCTGAAACAGATTTTGCACTGTTAATAATGACACTGCACAGTTGTGCCCTTCCTGTGAATTTCCCTCTGGATATGTCCCAAGTTATTGAATTAAGTTCTCTATTCAAGATGGATAAGAAATATTTAATGAGGCCCCTTCTTTAGTGATGAATTTGTATTCTGTTGACTAATAAAATCCAGTGAAATAAAATATTTTCCCCTGAAATAAATTGGATTTCTTCACAATTATGCTAAGGAGTTTTAATCAGCAAAGTAGTAGATATGAGAGACAAATTTTTTTCAGTAGTCTAGGAGTATTTTGAGACATATCCACACATCTTGCTGGAAAAGAATTTGTCTTCTGTACCTGTCATTATTCCCTAGATTGAATAGTGGACCCTCTTCCCCATCTGAGAATGTAAACCTCTTCTTTTCACTTTGGTGTTTTGCTGAGATTGTCAGGGCAACTTGGACTGAGATCCTGCAAGCGTTGCCATCAATGCCTATTTCAGCACAAACCCTCAGTGCTGCTGTTCCCAGAGTTGTCCCTGGTCTTGATGGGTTTGGTCTCTCACTTGTACAAGTCACCTGAGGATCTGCTCTAAGGAAACTTTCAGAAAATGTAGGTTCAAGTTGTTAAAAGAAGGGCATCCAAAAGAGACACTTAAAATCAACATTTAAATGATGTCATAAGAGAGTATTGTGAATTCTGGCAGGGTGAACATAAAATGACAATAGAACTGGCCAAAAAATATCATGAAAAAAATTTGCAAAAGGTGTTAAGTGAGTAATAAAGTCATATACAAAAAAAAAAAAAAAAAAAAAATCGGGGCTAGAAATTACCTGAAGGAAAAAACCTTGATTTTACATACACATTGAAAAACTTTGATCTGACTATGACTTCTCAAGATGAAAATCATAGTGTTGTAAAAAAAATTTCATAAAAGCATCTTAGTATCCAAGAAGGGTAAGCAAAACCAAGCAACTAGTAACATTTAAAACAAGAGCCTGTTCATTAAATATGACAAAAATCTGGTAAAATATTTCTTTTTCCTTTCTTAAAACATTAATACCATGAATATTTTTCCCATAGATATATTTTTGATATAGAGGAAAATTTTATTTGGCTTCCTAATCAAATGAATGTGTGATATTCTCTTTTTGCAGGGAAAGCCGGGATCTCCTGGGTCCCCAGGCTTGCCAGGAGAACCTGTAAGTACAGATTTGAGTTCTGGATTCTTACAATGGCAAACAAATATTTCACACCTAGTGCAAGATTTTTCATGCAGTGTTTTCATGTGTGTTTTCTTCTTCCTTAGGGTGAAAGAGGACCTATAGGAGATATAGGCTTCCCTGGTCCAGAAGGGCCACAAGGAAAACCAGTAAGCAATTTTATACTGAATTTATCATTTGCTACAAAAAGACGTGGTTTAGTTTATCAGAAGTTACAAAAGAAAGGACATTACATCTTGCTTTGTGTTAGAGTAGGTGACATGTGAAGAACATAACAGAGCTGCACTGCTCAATATTAACCATGCAAAAACCAATTCCTGGTATTGTGGTGTTTTAATAGTTAATGTTACTGAGATGTTGCCTTTAAAGGTCTTATGAAGGTCATTTGGATCTTGTTGACATAAAGTTTCCTCTTGTACTTTTTCCAGGGGGAGAATGTGAACCCAGAGGCTGAGCAGAGTCAGTAAAGGATGGGGTGACAGGACAGGTTCTCAGTTTCAGTTTAGATAGAGAAGCTTGGCCTTCACGACTGAATAAACTTTGAGACTCCTCTGTATACAGGTGATGCAACACAGCAGCTGAGGCATTTACTGTTCACTTAGGAGATGTCTAATCTGCTCCCTTTATGTAATAAAAGTGTGACAGCAGTGTAGCCAGCCCTGTCTGAGCTGCTTTTAGAAAGCAGTTTATATTCCAGAAGGGGTTCAGCCAGGGTAGTGCAGGACTCATTATCTCCCCTGAACCTTAGTGTTTTGGGGATGAGCATGAGCAGCAGACCTTTGCAGCTTGTCAGCACATCTCCACATTACACTTCTGCCTTGAAAGAAGACACAGCTTCTGTACCTACAGCAGCAAATTAGCCCAAGGTGCCTAATCTGTGCAAAACCCCACTTTGCAGTGTATGAGGAGAAAGAAATATTCCTGCTGTCTCTGCTCATACAAGTCATCCTTTCTCACTCACAGCTGTGAGTTTGCTACTCACAGATCCATAAATATCCTACTAAATTAAACACTGCCAGAGCCTTTATCTTGCAATTATCTGGCATTGTACAATTGTTAATATAATCTCTGACATTATTTTGGCCCATACCATCTAGGACTCTCAGATCATGCCACATTCCAGTCTGGAAGATAATGTGGGCCTGGAACAGTTTCCAGCAGTTGCTATGAGTGCAACCACCTTCTTTGGGGAAGGAAATGGCTGTAACCCATGAGACCAAAACTGTGCCATGCTGCAAGTCCTGACAATCAAAGAATGGATCTGGACTTGTAAGAGTAAGGCATAATCTCTGTAAGAGCAGAAGGGTAATTCAGCACCAAGGCTAATATCTAGAATAAAAGCAGCAAGTCATAATACAACCATGGGAGAGAGTTCTAGAAAAAGAACTCTCTCCCATGGTTGTATTATGACTTGCTGCTACTGAAAAAGTGCATGTGCATATACAAATATTCCAAATTTGCAAAATTTCCCCATAATTTGTCATTCAATGTTGGATGATCATTAGATTTGGTGCACATCTTGATGCTCTTTGTATTTCTATATTGTAGCCTTACAAACTGCTGCTTCTGTAGCTTCAGAACATTTACTGATGTGGCACTAAACACTGAGCTTTACCCTTTATATTTTAAAAACACATAAACATATTAATTTTTTTCCTAGGGAATCAATGGAAAAGATGGATTGCCAGGTCCTCCGGTAAGAAAACATGCTTTTGTGTATTTTATTCCTCACAGAAACCACAGCTGTTAATCTTAGGCAGTTGCTTTCCATTCTGCTAACACATGAATACACAACAAAGCCTTTAACTGATAAGTTTACCTTTTTTCAAAAACCATATTTCAGGGTGCTGTGGGGAGACCAGGAGACAGAGGACCCAAAGGAGAACGTGTAAGTCCCTATTATGATAACTTTTCTCTTTTCACTGAGCATATAAACACCTCATCAGCCCCTATCTTATAGGCAAAATCAAGAAATTAATTATCTGTGAACTTCAAGCAGCCACCTAAGGATCTAAGAGATTTAGGTCCTAGACACCACTCCAAGGAATTAGAGTTGATTTGTCTTCTGCATTTAGAGTAAAAACACATTTTATAGACTTTCTAACACAGCTGGCGTGGACAGTAAATTGATCAATAGGCTGAAAATTTGAAAGCAGATAATCCAGTTATGCTGTTGTTAGACTTTACAAAAGCCATGGACTTGCCCTGTTGTCCTCCTTTCTATGTCACAGACACAAATCATGTTTTATGTAAAACAAGCTTGTCACACTTAGGCAGCAGGAATGCCAGTGCAATACCTGACTGCTTCCCAAACCCTTCAGACAGTTCTGTTCATGGTAACAAGGTCATGGTGTGCAGGAATGATTATGGGAGGTGAGAGATGAGTTTATATATCTATGTACATGTATATGTATGAAAGACAGTCTTCTTATAACAGTCCCAAAGTCCTGATGTCCTAATCACATGGCTGCCACATTTATTTGATGATGCAGAGAAGCATCTCCTTGTTTAATCTGGAAAAGGAAATGCTGCTTTATGACACTGAAGAGACGTAAGGGTTTAACAATTAATACAATTATCCCTTAAAAAATTTACTGTTTGCAACGTTCTGATTTGCCTTTAAGGACACAGGTCTGCATCTGTGATAGAGATTGCAATGAGCACAGAAAATAAAGTCAAGGTTTTCTTGCAGCCATTATTATTATTAGTGCTGTACAGCATGCTCCTTCAGTTTGAGACAGCTGTTGTAGTTACAGAAAAGAGAAGCATCAAAATTGGAAGGACAGAATAAAACTCTTGAGGTTTTCTTGTCTGATATAAAAATGTCCTTATAGAATCTATTTTAAGAAGGAATAAGCCACCTGGGCTGAAATAGTTTTGTATATCCTTTGAGTGACTAAACACTACTGTTATTACTACTTTATAAACTGAGTGACAAACTAGATTGAAGACATGTTTTATACCAACCTGTTTTCTAGTGATTTCAACAGATACAAGTGCTAGTGGCTTGCTTGTTTTTTGCTGTTATCTCCAGACCTTGATCACAGATTGTGAACCTGCTGGAGTAGAGCAGGTAGAAACAGGAAAAACAGCAGTTCCTTCTGCACAGAATCTGGTACAAGATAAAATACCAGAGATAGGAGAGTGCTAGAAAGGAGAAATGAATAAAGCAGCATCTTAGGCAGAGATCACAAAGTACAAATGTCCTTAATTTTGTACAATTCATAGTGGAGAGTTTAAAGAGGAATCTGGAGGAATATATCACCTAGTTTATGAATTTTAACAAGGACCTTTTTCAAAATGTGAAGAAAATACTGGAGGCAGTTAAAAAATGCTTGTTTGAAAAGCTGCTGTAGTATTTGATTTGCCTCCTACACACTGGCAGCCTGTAAAACATGGATTGTTTATAAGAAAAGGATCAGCTTCACACTGGTATAGTACCACAATTCTAGAGAAATTTGCCTTTTTCTTTATCTCTGGTAGTAGAGCTATCTGTACCTACTCTGCAGGGTTATAAACCTGAGAACTTATCTATCACAGAACCATAAAAAGGCCTGGGCTGGAAGGTACCTTTAAAGATCATCAAGTTCCAGCCACCTTGCCATTGACCTTTCATCAGACCAGGTTGCTCTAAGCCCCATCCAACCTGGCCTTAATATATTTCCAGGGTTAGAGCATCCAGAGCTTCTCTGGACAACTTGTTCCAGTGCCTCACAGTAAAGAATTTCTTCCTAATATCTCATCTAAACTGACTCTCTTTCAGTCTGAAGCCATTACCCCCTTGTCCTGTCACCAAATGTCCTTCTTAAAAATTCCTCTCCAGCTTCCTCTTAGTATCTTTGGGTACTGGAAACAACTTAGATTAACTATAATTTTGTGTAAATGAAGACAAAAAATAGTAGGCTTCTAAGGAAAGTTACAGGAAATGTCCTAGTGTCTTTTGCCTGTGTGAATTTGAGCACCTGAATTAGACCTATGCCATAATTGACATTCCTAGTTCCTTGTATAAGGGCTAAATCTTTCTATACTCAAGTTCTGTCCTTGAAAACTGGGCTACACAGTCAAGCTATTCTTTTTGTAGTCGACTTCAACATCAAAATTGCAAGAAAACAAAATATGTTTTCAGACACAAGGTTCAGCCTGGAAAATCATCTTCCCTGCATGACTCAGTCTGTTTCTGAACAGGCAAGCATTTTCTCTTTAGCATTCTCAAGTGGCTTTTCAGGTTTGTTCCACGATGTGCAATGGTTTTCCTTCTGCTTTTATTTTACATAGGGAGATCAGGGTATTCCAGGGGACAGAGGTCCCCAGGGTGAACGAGGGAAGCCTGGCCCATCAGGAGAAAAGGGGGATGTGGGTCCTGCTGGCCCTCCAGGAGACAGAGGCTATCCAGGATCACCAGGTCATCAAGGTCCCCCAGGATCACCAGGACCCCCAGGGTTTCCAGTAAGTAAATATAAGTTTACTTGGTTGTTTGTGTATTCAGACAAGTTATGAAGGTGACATGGGCTGAGCAGTGGAAATTCAACTGAGAAATAGCACAGTATTAGAAAACCTAAGGATTTCTCTCAGATAATTTCCTTTAAGGTGAAAAAAATATACCCACATGATCAGGCAGTTATTTTTAATTATTTTTTAAAACATCTGCTATGGATAAGCTTTAATTATTTATTTCTTTAGTTCCTGCATACCAATGTGGCTGCTCAGTACTGTTAATTTTCACATTTTCCATAAGATTAAGAGCTGCAGTCTGAGCCTTTGCAACTGGGAAAGAAAAGGAGGCAGCCAAAACTGATTCTCAACAGAAGAGAAATCAGTATTTAGAAAGACAATGAAATTCTGCTTGCCAGTGGTAGATATCTTGATTTTTCTGCATGAGCACACAGGCACACACATCCATATTATGGGTTCTTTTTAACCTCAGTTATGTAAGGTAAAGCTCTAAAACACTTTTCCAGTGAAGTTACTGGGACCATGGTTCTGTTCTGGTCAGCAGTGCATCAGAGCAAGTAGTCCCCAGGGCAGGTGAGAAGTTGGAAGATGCCATGCAAAACTAAATCAGATTTTTGTCCCTGATCATCCTTACTTTCTTGTGCAAGGTAAATTCCATACTCATCATATCCTGGTCATCTTGGCAGCTGGGAGTGCTTCTCCCACTTCATGCCACTAGTATCTTTACATTATATTTGCAGTAAAGTGGCCTTTGCAGTAAAATAAATAACAAAAATAAATTTAAACACTTATCTGTTGGTAAAAGGTTTATATTGGTAATGCTAATTTGAGCATTTCTTATTTTTCTAGCATCATAAATTGTCCTTTGCATATTCCTTCTGATACACATCACCTTTCTTTTTCCTCATCAGGCTGATGCAATTTCACTTGAAGAAATAAAAAAATATATCAAACAAGAGGTTCTTAAGGTATTTGAAGGTAAGAATAGGAAATATTATGCAACTAAATCTGAAATTCTGCTCTAAATTTCTTTACATGTCACCTAACTTACATTGGACTTAGCAGGTACCTTGTTGCTGTAGCTGTGTTTAGCAAGTCTACATGATTCTGTTCAAACAATGAGAGGTTAGAGTATCTGTTAAACAGAGTATTTCCTGTGTAAAAGATTAGCACTGAAGGATAGTCTGCTCCAAATCACAATAGCAAACAGAAGTGTCATTGTAGGTACATATATGTATCATGTATCACTGCAGATACTGTTTATCTACCACACACCAGTAAGACATTGAAGTGTTGCTAAAGGAGAGAGCAGAGATATACCTAATTATTTTGCCCCCTTAGTGGCTGACTGTCTAAATAAGAGAAAGGTTCAACAGCCTTCAGTCACATAGGTCTAAACTGCTCTTCAGTTTTCTCAGCAAATATCCCTGCTGAGTTCCAGAACTCCCTGCCAGACCACCACCATCTGGCACAGTTTTAGGCAAGTTCCAGATTCAGCCAAAGCCTTTGTATTATGTAAGATTTCTTAGATGAGTCCTAACTCTGAAAAGGAAATATTTTTCTTCCCCAGCATTCCTTTAGTCATGGTAGAAAAGCTGTGACTCAGGTTTCTGAAACAAGCTTCTTCATGAACACCCCTTAACAGCAGCTTCTCTTCCATTGCAAAATGCATTTCTTATATCCTCTGTATGCTTTGTTATTCTGTCATTAATATTTGTGGGCAAAAACCATCTTTTAGAGATAAAAGAAATTATATAAAGCTTGAGACTTCTTAACCTGTTCAGGCAGTTTTTCACTTTATAACAAGGCTATCACTTTGTGCATTATCACCTTTTCCCAGGGTGCTACCCCTCAGAGTTCAACCTATTATGTATTTCAAGAGCAGTTTGTTGAGTGAAGTCACCTCCTTTTCCCATTCAGATAGAATGGTAACAAATATTTAGTCTATTCACAAAAAGAAGGCATTATAAGGTGCCCTGCCTACAGGGAATAAAGTAGTTTTGTCTTTATAGCTATTCCCTTTTCTACATCTCACTACTGCTCCCACAGATCTTCCAGTTTTGGCATTGTTTCATTTTGTTTACTTTCTATCACCTTCCTTCTTTTTTGTTTGTTGCCAACTCTTCTCTAATTTTTTTCTTAAATCTTTAAACTCCACCACTGTAAATACCCACTAAGTTGTGGAATGTTTAGGGCTTTAATCTGGTGTAAATGAGACAGAGCCAAGGTTAGTACATATTTTACCTACCTCTAAGGAACAGTAAAATATTACCAAGAACACCTTATCTCACCAGCATGAAAATTTCTATTCTGAAATATCTGCAATTAATACTTTTTGCTGAGTGCTTTCAGGTTTTTTACAACAGTTTTCAGGGTTCCAGCACATTTCAAGAACTGTTCACAGGATTTAATCTCTACTTTGCAGCTTAATATGAGTTACAAAAATAGAAGGTAGCCCTCCATCAGTATGTTAAGTACTAATTATTCTGTCTAGTGTTTTAAGTACTTCCATGAACAGGAGTCAGAAATAATTTGAAATATTGGAATATGTTAGTAATAGAGAGTAGCAATAGAAACTTTAATACAAATTAATTCTGATTATTTCAAAGGGTAAAGACTCAGACATGAATCTGAGTTGGAACTGAAGGTCTCAGTGCTTATTGGAGCATTTAATACCTTGACATTAAGAAGAATTAAACACCCTACTTACAGAAACTTTAGCTGGGGCTTTGGGATTTTTTTTCCCCTTTTTTTGCTAGCAGATTTCTTACCAACTTTTTCCTATGTCTTTGATTAATGAAGAAAGGATGGGTCAATTTGTATCCCAGCTGAAGCTGCCTGCTGCAATGCTTGCCTCCCAAGCTCATGGAAAACCAGGGCCCCCAGGAAAAGATGGATCACCAGGGCCACCAGGAAAGGATGGTTTGCCAGGGCCACCAGGAGAGCGTGGAATTCAAGGTAGGGATTCCAAAAACTGTTCCTTTTAGTTGTATCTTGAAATCCTTAGACACTTGCTAATGTTTATTAAATAAGCCAGGACTACCTATCTAGCTTTCTAATGATTAACTTTTAAACTTATGTACTTATGTTTTTCCAGACCACATCTAAATATTAACCCATAGTAAATGTGTGGATTTTACTGATTAAAACCTCCTAATCAGTGCATTTTATTCTAATCAGTTATAAAGTTAATTATTGACAGATTTCTAAATCTGACAGAACTACTGTAGCAGGTTATTTTTTTTCCTACAAAATACTTGAATAAGGAAGAAAAACAATGCCAACACTCTTGCTATTTAGATTCAGCTACATATTTAAAGACCATCTTATTTAAGAAAAAAAAAATCTTTCTGTCTCCTGGTCCAACTGCTCTCAGTTCAGATCCTGAGAAAATACAGGGCAGGAAAAAATGAAGAAAAATATTCTTCTTTAAGAAGCAGTGAAAGATTACTGAAATATTACTAAATTAATTTTTCTTATGGTGAAGGAACCTATTTTCATAAAAGAAGAAATCAGAGTAATCAGTTTTTCACTAACTTAAGGCATCAACTGTACCCCAAACAGTAATTTGTGCATTGCAATGCACTTGGACAGTATCACACTCTCATTTCTGTGAACTACTTTTACTGCAAAAGTGTCTTTTACTGCAAAATTAGCTCTGAGGGATCCAGGATCATTGTAGTTGTGCTCTACTGTAGAGCCAGCCTTTCAGAGATTAAAAGAAAGATGAGAATAGACTAGAAAGAAAAAAGAATTTATAGATGAATAATATTTTGTGGGTGGGTAACATGTAATTTGCAGTTTATCTGTAGGTAGTTCTTTATTATCTTTTGTTAGTTTGGTCTGCTCTGGAGTCAGAGCAAGTCAGACTGGAATGAAGAACATGCCAGCAAAGCTGAAGATGTGTGGATCCTAAAGCTATCAGAAGAATAAGGACTTACTAACATTGATAAGCGCAAACCACTGACAGAAGCTTGAAAAATGTGATGAGCTCAGAATGAGAAGAACAAGAATAAAGGATCAAGGAAAACAATAAAAGGCTTAGAATCTTACAACACTGACTTCATCGTTACCTAAATATTCAGATCACTGCAAATAGTCACCTTCAATGTCAGTGCCAGATTGTTCAATGATGATGTGTGTACTGGATAGTCTCAAACACTTCTGGGAAGAGAAACGTTGCACTAAGTTTCCTTTCCAGCTAGTGAGCATCAAGACTAAAAGATGATAGCTATGCTTGAAAAAAAACCAAACAAAAAAAAAGCTGCTTTTCCATATCTTATAGTTAAGTAAAATAGTGCCCCATGTACACAGCATTTCCATTTATTTTACCAATATGCTCAATACTTGTTTTTGATTAGTAAAAGGTAAGCTAAGTGTGAAGCCTTTAATTCTATGATACATAAAAAGATACAAAAAATTACACTTCCATGGAAAGAAAACCAAAAGTTTACCTTGCCTCTTTTTTATACTGCGAATAAGAGACTGTCCTGTAAGAGGTGCACACTTACACACACCCTTCACACCTTCCTCAGTTGTGCCTGTGCATGTTACTGCTTTGTGCCAAGAGTAAAAAGAAATTCAAATCTCTGAGCAGATTGAAAAGTATCTTTTTATATTCCAGCTTGTCTTCAGCCATAAAATACATAGCAAACAAGACTTCTTGGTGAAGCACATTACGTGCATGTGTGGCTGGGCCCTTTCAGGTAGCATGCTGTGTGCACAAGTCCTGATACAGGCTTTGTATTGACTGATGGACACTTCTTATTCTATTTCTCACTTGGGTGTAGCCCAGACTGCCAACTCCAGGGATTTGCTGTGTGCAGTAATACGGGGCCAAGTGAGTCACTTGTCCCACACAGGCAGTGAGAAGAAGTGGATGCTTGTGGCAAGCAATTAACAGGACCTCTGTGAATATGTCCTGTTTGTGATGCTGCATGCAGAGCCTGCTAGAGCCAGCCAGATGCTGCTGGGTGTCTGGAGAGGTGTTTAAGTTCATCTGAGGATTCACAGGGGTCTCTCCATACAGCCTGAGTGTGGTGCTGGTTCCCCTGGAAACTGGTCAGGAATGATTTGGCTGGATTCCAACAGAATCTCCTTCTGCACAGCAAACTAATAGGTAGTGGGTTACTCCCAGAAGCAAAAAAGAGAGATACTAACTTTTGGACTTATAGGCATGGTTTTCAAAAAGTGTATTTGAAGAATTGCTAGACTCTTATGCAGAGATTCATTCCCGTCTAAGGAAGTCCAGAATTTTTACCTGCTGGCCTTCAGCAAGGTTGTTCATAGTGTTCCTCATAACTTTCCCAGTGGTTCAGGTAGATATAATTTAGAGGATGGTCTCATTAGAAATATAGCATGCAAGCAAAATAGAATTGCAACTTAAATTGTGAAACACATAATTGGTATTCAAATGGCCAATGGAAGATTTATATATATATATATATATATATATATATATATATATATATATATATATATATATATATATATAAATTTCAAAAATAACCTATGCATCTGCAAGCTGGGTAAAAAGTAATGGTAAAAAGTACAGCATGTCCTTAAGGGAGAACAGAGGGACTTTGCATGAGTTTTAAGGGATGTTTATATCTCCTAGAGAATTAGAAAGTTTATTTCAAGACTTTGCAAACAAGATATATCAATGTCATCCATCTGCAAACACACAGTCAGCTTGTCATGTGTAAGAGGATCTAGCTCAATTAACTCCACTGACTTAATTGGATTTTTAAAATTGTAATAGTAAGGGAATTTTGGTCCATTAGATGAACTGCGCCTTGTGATAATTTAACAATCCAGAGACCCCTTATGTTAATATGACTTGATTTTTTTTTCAATAGAGAAAAGATTGTATCCTAGTTAAAATTCACTCTTTCTGTCAAACTGAGAAATTTGACAGAATTTCCTTATTTTCTTATGTTCCTTTTTTATAGGTCCTCATAACCTATAAATATAGGTCCTCATAGCCTCATTCTTTGAGGCTACCAAACTTGTGGTAGCCTCAAGGAATCAAAAAAAAGAGCTCAGCTCAGAAAATAAAAATACCATACAATGAATAGTGAAAGCTCCTTATCTTTATTGGTAATCTCTGTTGTAAAGTTTATGTCTCTTATTATAATTACTAATTTGTATGGTGGAAGCATGTAGAAACCTTGGCTTACATCAGGAGCCCATTGTAGTGGATGTTGTCTGTAGACAGTCGCTCTTCTGAAATAGCTGCACTGGTTTCAAGAGATACCTCCTGCAAAATGTTCTCTGCTGTGGAGGTTAAAGTTAACCTGTTTTTCTTTGATTTGAAACCCATCTGCTCCCTCTCAGCTGAGAGAACTGTAACACACAGAAGGAAGTCAGAACATGTATTGGTGGCTGGATGAGAGGGCTTCATCTTAGCACCCTCTCTGTTGCTTTGCAGTCTTTTTAAGGACACAGAGTATTTGCACAGTAAAGCACAGAGGATACTTTGGTCTCATTGTTCCCTGTGGTGGTAATCTCTTTGCCTTGTATTTGTATTAAAGAACCTCAGATTTTTCTAGATACTTGACATGTTAGTTTCAGGTGCTGCATTGTCCATGCTGATGGAAGAGGCTCTCCATGATATGGGTGCAATAGCTTCCAGAGCTTTCACCTCCGAGTTCATGGACATGAACTTCTGTCATTTCATGTAGAGCCAAGGGTGTAGCAGTAGTGACACTTTTGACCATGCTGTTTGTGGCAAGCACCAAACTGAGAGCTGAATTCCAGCTGTTACTACTCATCTATGAGCAAAAGCTTATCTGTATGAACACAAACTTGCTACAGGCTGCTACCAAGTGTTTACCATACTGCCCACGTTGGGTATGTGCTTGTCATAACAGAACTTTAGGGTTGCAGAAATCACAAGAAAACTTCTAGAACCTGAGTGAAAGGTTCTGCTAAAACAGTTACCTTTTGAATTAAGCAGGTGCCTCTGACTGAAATTGTAATTCTACCAGGAAAAGTAGATAGCATCTTATATGTGCCTTTACATTAAAAACAATAAATTAAATCCGTTTTATGTGTATGGTAATATTTTCCTTTGACTATGTATGAGTTTGTCAGTCTAAGCTCAGAAAGAAGGTGATATTATCATCTAGAGGTGTAATCATGGCCTTGCTTCTGAGCAAAATATACCTCATTAAAAATCAAATATTTTTCTGCCAGAATTACGCATTACATTGTTCACATTGTTTACATATAAGTCTGTTCATTAAAATTCTTGCATTCTATCAAATAAAGCCTTATTGTTAGACAAGGTATTTGGGAATTTTTGTATAAACTTCAGTGCTAGCAGAACTTACCTGCCACCATGTAAAAACTACACCCTTGCACATGTATTTGGATACAGCCAATAATGGTTTATCACTAAACCGTGCTGCTCTTTGTCCTACTTTTTTCCTTATTTTCTTGTGTTCCAGTGATGTTTACAGAATCATTCAGTCTATCTCAGTTGTTTTCAATTATGGTGTGTCAGAGACCTGCAGTAATGTTTACCATGGATATTGTAAATGTGATGTATGGTACCTTTGATTTCTCTCTCTTCTCCATAACTAAAGAAACACAAAACAAATCATTAGTGGCAGCAGTCCATTGTAAAATTAGAGTTAACTGGGTTTGTAGTGGGAAATGCATTGTAAATGTTGACTGTAAATTAAAAAACATTGAGAAATATAAAATAAATAGGGCATGTAATTGATCCTGTGGTTGTATTATTGAGCTTTGCAAAAAGCAGCAATACTAGAAGTTGCACAAGATTTTTCAGAACAAACCAACTTGGTCTAGTTATAAATATTACTATGGTCATTGGAGAGTAAATCCAAATTCAAAATCCAGTACAAATACCTGCATATTCCTTTTTCTTAGTCTTTATAGCTTGTGTGTGTATATGCCTTGTACAATTCTGCTTAACATAACTCAGTGACCAGAATGCATGGTTAATTTGAATTTGGTTTTCTGTGAGATTTTAAACTGTTGATTTCCTTTAGTTGTGTTATGTATAGCACCCTGCATGCATTTTGTAACATTCTTGCCTCACTGCAATTTCCTTGTTGTGGTGCTGAGAGGAGTAAGATGATTGATGCTTTGTTTTGAAAGCTGGAATGATTGCAACAGATAACAGACTTTCTACTGAAGCATAAAATGAGCTTGTGTGTAACAGAAAGCTTGAATGCTCTGTGTACCATTCCTACTGCATTGTGTCTGTTGTAGCAACGTTGAATTGGTACCCACAGCCCTCAAAGTAATTTCCTTCTGGAATGTCCTGTAAGGTAGCAGTGCTGCACACACCACAGCACACTGACAAGACATCCTTTGCCATCCACCTGTCAGTGCCAGTAAATCTTCATGGGACATCAGGTGGATTGGCATGGCTGTGCTCTTCTCTTTTAATTCAAACTAAGTAACAGTTCTTCACGAGAGGAAGAACTCAATGGTTTATTCTATGGCATAGGTGATGCTAAAAATATACTGGTCCTTGAAGCAGGAAGATTTTAATTCCAGATGTGACCAGAAATCAGCAAATTAATCCTAAACTTTTGTCACCTTACATGCCAGCATCTGAAGTGCTGGGTACAGAAGAGTTTCCTTGTAAGCCCTTTTGAAGTAAGGGTTTGTTTTGTAAGGGAGGTAAGGGCAGATGTCTCCTTTAAAAATGCCTTCATCCTTTCTCCTGCATAATAACTTATTCTTAACTTGAAATAATAACTTATTCTTAACTTGAAATAATCAGGCAAATATTTTACTGATAGCAACAAGTCCTCTGCTCTAAAGCAGCCAGAGTGTTTCCAACCAATAAAACTTTTTAAAAACAGTTCAAGGAAAAAGAAGCAGAGGTTGGGCATGGGTTGCAGCACCTGAGAAGGTGGAAGCCTTTAGATAAATTCAAAACTATGGCCTGTGAAGGAAAAGGACTCAAGTACTCAAACTATGATTACTAATCACATCTTGTTAATGATATGCAGCTAGTTGGGTCAAAGTAAGCTTCAAACCCAAAATCTGCACAAGGTCCAGAGATGATTCATTCCATGTGAGGAGATCTGGACAACACTGGCCAGGGAGTGGGACTTCTCTCACATACAGGAGAATGTCTAATCATACAACTACCACTTTACAGTCTAAAAAGTGCAAGTGTAAGGATTATGCAGAACAGAGAGAGTAAAATCTGCATTTGGCTCTTTATTAGAGGAATTTCAGGTAACTTAAAATCTTGGGGAAGGGTAAGCTAGTGAACAAAGCAAGAGCCCTTTGGCAGATGATGTAACAGTTACTGCTAGAAATGCTCATATTTTCCAGAAGGAACTTATAAACTTAAGAGTGGTTTCAAAAAAAAAAAAAAAAAAGGGATTCTGAAGAAGAGAACTGAGCATGTGCTTTCCCAATTATATTTGTATTGGTAATTTCATGTCAACAAGATATACAGAAAATCACTACCTAAAATAAGAGGGTGCTCTTATCGTCATATCTTTATTCTGTGTAGGTTATAGAGGACAGAAAGGGGAAAGAGGCGAGCCTGGAATTGGACTGCCTGGTAACCCTGGACCACCTGGCCCTGCAGGTACAAGTCTCCAGATCTATTTCTGCTATTGTTGTTTATGAACTAACAGGCCTTTCTCCTGGTTTTACACTCCTGCTTTTCCTCCCGAGCTGGATCGCAGCGTGAGGTCAGCCCCACCTGCCTCCTTGTGGATGTGCTGGAGCGCACCTGATGTCGGTGATGAAAAGCAGGGCACTGCTCGTGCTCTGGTGAGGACCCTGCTAATTGTAGCTTTGTTTTACCAGCTGCTGGCCTGCCAGGCCCACCAGGAGCATCAGGCTCACCGGGACCGCAGGGGCCGCCAGGAGCCGCCGGGAGGTGCAACCCAGCGGATTGCTACTACCACGTGTCACAGACTCGCTCACGCACCAGCAGGAAATAAAATCCCTCCCCCCCGACACTTGGGTTCACGGTCACTTTTCACTCTTTCCAATAAGTTAATTTAATTTTTTGAAATATTGGTGCATTTTTTTTTCTCTTGACACTGCATGGTATATAGATAATTTGTAAGGCACAAAATTGAGCCTTTTTCTATGTTATTTGCAGTGTCATAATGATGACATGATGTCATATATTTTCCAGAGTGCATTCCATGTGTTGTTTCTCATATTTATTTTGCTTAGAACAGAAAATAGGCCCAAATAATTTTCATAAACTTCTTTCTTCAAACAAAAAATATTTTATTATAACTTAAGACATTATGTATGCCTCCCTATGTAAGCTGGCTTTATTTTTTGCTGGTGGTGAATTTTCAATGGAAAAAATAGATTTCTGAAGCCACAAAGCGTACTCATTCATGGCAAATGCAGGACCTGAGCTGGAGCACTGGGAACTCTGTTCAGACTAAACATTCTTGTCCCCCAAGGAGGCTCCAGCACACCTTCTGAAAAGGGTCTGCCGTGCTCCAGGAATGCTGCCCACCGTTACAGGCACATCCAAGATGGCAAAGAAGGAAACAAAGATGTGTTTGTGGTCTCCTTATCTCATCCAATGATGAGCTTCAGACTGACTGGAAGATCACTGGGTGTAGCTCCAGGAAGTGTCTCTCCTGACTGGAATTAGTCCCAGATGGGGGCCTGTATATTCCTTTAGTCATGGTTACACATACCCCAGATATTAAATGCAAGAGGCTGCTGACAATGTTCTGGACTGGCACACCTTCTAACCATTAGGTGGACTGAGTAAAGCTACTAAGGCCTGGAATCAAGCTAATCTGCCATAAAGTCTGCCTACAGCAAAGGTGATCCCTTGCTTTAGAGCAGAGGCTGGTGAGCACATATCCCAAGAATGGAACTTCACAAGCCTCTAATCTTGGTGTTTTCCCCTTCCTCCTGCAATATTCACACTCTGAAATCAGCTTGAGAAGAACATGGAACTGTAGAGTGCACAGCTCACAGGTTCTATTAACTGGTGACAGAAAATTTTTTTGAGTTCAAGAGAAATTCGTAAAAAAATACAAAACTCTCCTAGAAAGGTGTACTACCGAGAACAACAGCATCCCGTTTTCAGGCATTTAGTAAAGGCTGCAGGAACAGACAATGTCAATGATGAACAAAACACAACAATGTGTAAATCCTGTAGAGTTCAAAGGGTTGAGCAAAAGAAAATCTGAAGAAAATTGATCACACAGATGATCCTGAAAAGGAGTGAGTAGGGGTGGCCAAAATTTCACTTCTGGTTATTAGGAAACAGATGATCCTAAGGTAGTCCTGTGGAATTTTGCATGGTGCAATAGAAAGTGAACGTGCTGCTTAGAGAACACAGACATCTATAACCTACAACAGACATCTATAACCTACAACTTTGAAATGCTCCTGTAGCACAAAGCCATACTGAGGGCTTTTATCCCATTGTTTGGAAGTCACTCTCCCACATTAGGCAGGGAAGTAGTTTTGATAACTTTGTGCTTGAGCAGTACTGAGCTACCAGGGAAGTATTCTCAAATTGGAAGTCCTGGCTTCCAGAGAAGCTGTTGTGATACATGAATCTGGCTGACTTCTGGGTTTTGCTCAAAAGCAGTTAAGGAATGACTGGTGGGAGTCTTTAGCAAGAGATGCACATTGGCATTTGTTCTGAATAGAGTTCCTAGCACTTGTACCCAGAGCAGAGGAGCAAGATGAGAGCAAGAGGTGACAATTAACTCAGGCAGCAGCTGGGGCACTCAGGACACTTTCTGAAAGGGAAAGCAGAGATCTCTGACATGTTCATTAGTTAGGTGTTTGGAGGAGAGAAGGGGCTTGCTACAACACCATGAAACTATCTCCTGAAGGAGCTGCACTACACCCTGCAGCTGGGGACGCCTTGGGGAGTCAGGGTGCTTTATCTGTTCCTTGTGAGAATGGGGTCAAAAGCCCACAGGCAAACCCAGTCCTCACACCTCCTGTTCTTGTCTCAGCCCTCACTCCTTGGGAGGCAATGGCTGTCCCTTTGCCAGGCCAGCACACCCCTCCTGCTGGGGTGAAGGTGCATTTGGGACACGTGGTCCTGCCGGAGCTCAGCTCGACACAAGCTGCTCCCACTGCAGAGCTGCTGTGCCCATGGAGCATGTTTTGGTTTGCTCTGTGGAACTGATCACCCTTCCAGTCCTGGTCCTCAGAGCTCGGGGGCTGAGGAAGTGCTGGGAATGGTGAGGCAGCTTGAGACCGAGCACTGAGGCACCGACTGCTGCCATGGGTCTGCCTGCCCAGAGAGCACAGCCTGGCACCAGCACATCTCAGTGTCTAAACATGGACACCAGAGGAGGAGCAGCCCCACATACTGGTGTCCATTCTCTGAAAGGAACTGCTGGTCAGGTATCTTGCATAAACATTTTCTGTTTCTTTTGGATTTTGGGGTTTTTTGGGATTTTTTTGGGTTTTGGTTTTTTTTTTTTTTTTACTTCTCTAGTAATTCCAATATATATATAATCGAAACATTTTTTACTTCAAAAGTTAATTTTGAACTTCATTTTCTGTGATAATATTGAAAAGGGTGCTGTCTTGTGTTAGTACTTGAGTGACTTAGAGGTTCCCAAGCAGCCCCATCCTGGAAGGCTGTACATAGACCATTGCACCACTTTGGTGGTATCTGTATATTTTGGGGCTTTTAGCTTGCTGAAACCCAGCATCTGTTATCTGCCAGATGCAATTGCTGTATTTTAATTTACTTGAACTTATTGGGAAGCAGAACACTTTTTATATTTGAAGAAGTTTTATTTTTTCATCTATGTTTCCTACAGATGCCTTTTTCTTTTTATAGGCTTAAAGAGAAAGATCTTTCTAAAATGTATTTGAATGCTTTCAGTTGATTTGCAGGTAACTTTGGCAATTATCTTGTTGCATTATTTTTATTTTGCTAAATGCCCAATTTAATTTTCTCATGTGAGAAAACGGGTAATTTTTTATATGGGCTATCTCAGTACCTAATTTAAGATGCCACTTCCTTCACTGGGGTAGAGCAGAGCTAATCCCAGCTTAACTTTACTTCACTGGCTTGCTTCTAATTTGCATTTTTAGAATTGAAAGTGGAAAGTAGCTGGAAACATGTGTCTGCATGCTTTTCAGGTTTGGCCCCTGAAATTTCTTTGCAGTTTCAGACTGATGTTGTCTTAGTTTTTGGGCAGGAGGCCAGGGAGGGAAAAGGGGATGCTAATCTATTTTGCAATTTGCTTTATCAGTTTTGTATCTGTTTTGAGCAGTTCATGCTGCAGTAGGCACTGCAAGGAAATAAACATGAGGGATTATTTTTTTTTCCAGTAGCATAAGGTCTTTTATTCTGCTTTGGGTTTGTTTATATGCAACAAGACTCAGAAGTGAAATAACTTTGACAAAATGTTTTTAAACCTTTTTTAAAAGCTCTTTAAGCTTTATCCTAGTTCAGGGTCAGACTTTTATATTTTATGGCAAGTTGCTTTATCACCTAATAAACACATGTTGGGATTTTCTTTAAATAGCAATGTACAGAACTACTCAGTTTGCCTAAAGAGAGTACAGAAACTTCCTCAGAGGGAAGCTTTCCCGAGGCTGCAGCAGATTTCCTGCTGCCCACATGGGGGAGTGCAAAACATCCTTTCAGTACAATGGTTACAGCCCAGGCCCAACTGGCCCAGCAGAACAAGAGCTGACCCAGCCATGTCTATTCTCACAGAACAGTAGTTTCTGTGTTTCTGATTTTGTTCTTGAGACTTACTTTTTTCTATCTTATTTCTTCAAATCTCTTTAGTTTGCATGGTGGTATTTGCAGAAATACTGCCTTTCTTGGATAATTATAGTAAGATAATATTGTTAAGATTTTATTTGTATTTACATTGTGTTTTATGTATGTTACAAAAGAATATGTTGTGGTGACATCTCATTTTCAGGCACCATTTAAGTCCCCTGCAATGATGTTTGTCCCCAGGGGTGGAGGCACTCACCTATGGTTAGTAAAAGCTTCAGCACCATCCAAGGTACAATTGGGCAGCAGTGCAGCCCAGCAATGTTTTGAGAACCAATATTCTTACCTTAAGCTGGATCTGGTGTCAATGTCAAAAGAGCACTGTGATACAGAAACAGGATTGATTATCCATCCTTCCCTTACATATTATGATTCTGGGTTATGACAGATGCTAGGTATGCATAGCTTTGTTAAATAAGTGGGGGTTTTATTAATGGATAATCACACAAAATATTTTGGATCTTCTTTTTCACAAGGGTGAAATGTTATTATTCATTTCCATGTGCACTCAATTTTTCTTTTTTTTTTCTGAAATGTTTATATGAAAGTCTTGTAAAAACCCCACTGGCTAAATTAGCATTTTATAAACTTGATTCTCCAAACAGACTACATAAAATCACTTCTTAATCTTGCATTTTACCAATGCAGTAGAAATGCTGCTCTAATGTGAAAAGTTAGAACAAGAAAAGTAACTCAGAAATCAAAACATTGCTAGTTTGGGGTGTGTTTTTATTGAGTTTTTCATAGATTCTGGATGTACCAAGTCATGCAAATTTTTCCTGAAACCTGATATGTCCACTACAGTTTGATTGTACTGGATGGATGTTTAAATCACCTCCATGCACATAGGTGGGTGTGGGCCACGGAGAACAAGTTTAAACCCAACTTTGTCATGGTTGGTATTTGAGTGGAAAATTCAATCTTCAGGATACTGTAAGGAAATGTGGTTTCCAAATGCTAATTGCTAACAAATATTACAGATTCTAGACCAAAATAAGTTTGTAGCTAAAAAGATTGGAGTCTACATGCCCTTTAGCAGTTTTCTTTCTTAGTCTGCTATTCTATAAACACGAATGCATTTAATTACTTACTGCAGTTTTAATGTAAATATATTCTGTCTCCAGTCAGAATGTTTGAAGGATTCTCAATGACACACCTTGGTGTTTTGTATTCTTTCATTTCTGAATT